TTTCTAATTATCTAATAATACAAAGATCTCGTTTATAATTAACTACTAGATTAGCTTTAATTAGAAAGTCTTTCTAGTAATAATAGATTATTTTCTAATCAGAGATATAGAATACTATAAGATTCTGTTAGACTTTTAACCAGTTTCTAATACTTATAAAAATAAGTTACTAACTAGTATTATACTAGAAGTTCTGTATCAGTATAATCTAGTATACCGGATACTTGGAATTATAATCAATAATATAAATAATAATAGAATAATATTCTCTATATTTATTATAAAGTTTAAGATATAGTTACTCTAGCTTTAAAATATACTTATTAATTATAAGCTATTAAATATTATTAAAATTTAGTATTATATTCTCTGTCTTGTCTATATAATTCAGCTTACTATAATAATCTTACTTTAGAAGCTTTATTTTAAGATATTTAATAATAAAATTGAATATAATTAGAAAAATAGAGAAGAGACTTTGACAGCTTATTAAGATATTATATAAATAATTAAAAAGATTAGTTATCTAAAGCTTCTGATTAGAGTCTTAAAAATCTCTATAAAAGATTTCTATAGAACTCTTCTATATCTATAGTTATAGAGTACTCTGAAAAAGCCTTTTACAGAACACTTCTATAGATATAGAGTATTCTGAAAAAGTCTTTTACAGAATACTTCTATAGATATAGAGTATTCTAAAAAAGTCTTTTACAGAACACTTCTATAGATATAGAGTATTCTGAAAAAGTCTTTTTTAGAATACTCTATATTACTAGCAGCTATTCTAATTTATTTTTAGATTCGGAAAATTGGAAAATTTATTAATACCAGTTCTTAATATTGGAAACAATTCCAATTCTCTTAGAGACTTGATACTGGATTAGTAATTTTTTTATTTCTTGATTATAAGACTCGATAGAACTTAATCTATCTGATAATATACTATACTCTGAAACTTTGTTAGTCTATTAAAAGCTTTATCCAGTTTTAAAATAGTAATAATATCTCTTATCTTTAGTCTATATCTGTAAAATAGAGACAGTTTAAATATTTAATAGAGCTTCTATTTCTATTCTATCTATTTATAATCTATCTCTTGGATAACCAAGAGTTCACTGTATATAAAATATATAATATCTATAATAATCTATTTAATTATCTGGATATATTAATTAATTGTCTTATAAGAAAGCGAGTACTCTGGAAATAATAAATTCTTGATAGTCTTAGAAAAGTTTATTAAAAACTTTAAAAATATTATTAGTAAATCTATTAGACTGAGAACTATATTTATATAATTATAATAATCTTGGATTTAATATTAAAGTTTAAAATATTTAAAAAGAGTCCCTGACTTAATAATAATATAGACTAGTCCTGTAAGTATTGACAGGTCTTTAAAAAGATATATAATTACTACTATTATTATAATTTTAATATTAATATACAGTCGGCAGTCTTAGATCTGATTTTAAGTCTCGATAAAATCTTTTTCTATTATTTTAAATAGTAGAAGTAGTTATTTTTCTCGAAGATATATAAAAAACTTAAGATCTATTTTAATCTTGAGAATATATTACTCTTGTTTTTCTACTTTACAATATTAACTAGTCTTTAATTTAGGTATAACTGGTCTAACTGATATTCTTATCTACTAGAAATTCTGCTGTAATAACTTTTCTATTTTTTATTATATAGTACAGGATTTTCTAGCTGTTATAATTAATAATATTAGAGTTAAATATTTATTTAATAGTACTTAAGATATTTACTATTACTACTGAAATTGTTTATATTTTGATATAATTGAAACAACTATATTTTAGATATATATAGACCGATTTATAATTTATAAAAAGTTTAAAAATATCTTGGACAATATAAATCCAGAGAATATAGCTTTTTCAGTTAAAAATAAATAGAATAATAATATAGAAAATATAATCTATATTAGTAATATAAAGAATATAAATAATCTTAAGAATAGCTTAAAGCCGGAGAATAGTTCTATATTAATTAATTAAAATATAGAATCTTTACTACCTGTTTTTAATTTTATATATACCCAAGAGTAGATAGATACTTATATATCTTATAGTTTATAATATTACAATCAATATCCAGAGCAGTATAAAGAATAGTATTATATAGATTTTTATCTATAGTTATAATCTAGAAAACTTGTTTTTTGAATTATCTAACTATATCTAATATAATAACTATTAATTATAACTGGTAATAACTCTGTATATAAAATAAATTGAAAGAAATATAATAAATACTATAAAATTATTAGTAATTAATTATAGATTAATTTACAGTTATTAATCTAATTACTATAATCTAATCTATTCTGGCCTACAGTTAACTGCGGTTAAGAGATTGATTAACCTTAATCTAATCTAATCGGTGTCGGTTAAGGAATTTTATACCTTAACCTAACCGAGGCCGGTTAGGTTAGGTTATGGCTAGGTTACGGCGGTTAGGTTATGCCACTCTACTAGTAGCTGGTTGTAAGAACGGGGCAAAGATTACTACTTTTTGGATTTCATCTAATGCACTAATCGGAATCACGGCGTAGATTTGTTTACCTAGGATCTTCTTAACATGCTTCTAAAGGGTGCTTGTATTCGGTAATAGTGACATATTGATCACTCACCATACTTTGCATCGGTCCGCAGTTCAGTGAGTATATGTATTAACTTATGTCTTATCAGCTAACAGGATATTGCTATTTTATGGTGTTTAATATCTATTTGTGTTTTGTTAAATCTTTGCTGTGGCCAATTTAATGGTAATATCCTAATATAAGTATTATTTTTTTTAGGTTGATCATCAGTGCCTAGACTAGACACTAGTGCTATCAAACACATTAACATTAAGGGGTAGAATCGCGGTGCTTCATATATATACATCGTTCATATTCTACCACTATGGACTAGTGCAGGAGCCCGCTCGTCATTGTCCCTTGCGGAGCCTTTAGGTATTGTTAGGGTATTTCGGGATTACCCGCAAATGGGGTTGCCATTGGGCCTAGGGTAGAAGACCGCAATGATTGATATCAATTATTCTCAAAATCGGGTTGACCCACAAACATATCATGATAACTAGTACCAGCCGTGTTGTATGGTTTTCGGTAGGCTTCATCTATATCATCCCTGAGTCTTAACGATGACTGTTGCATGGATCACTAAGGTTAAGCTATATGTTGTATCCCCCTTCGTACAAGTTCAATGTTTTCTTGAACCGTACATGGTCGCAATCGTACTTCCGTCAGATGATTCCCCAAGAGCCCGACATATTCTACCTTAAGTCTCCTCTACCAGAAAACAGCTTTAACCCAGGCTCGCTAATCGAACTATCCCATCACCGGATGTAAATATCATGTGTTTGTTGTTTGATACAAATATAGATCCTGGGACAAAACTTATATGTAAACAGGTTTGCATATGGTTTCTTTTCAACAATATTCCAAAGTCGAATAACTCTACTTTGTGTATTCAATTAAGGTATTTTGCCACTAGAGACGAATGTACCGTTCCAGGATTTACTTTCTACTGAGAATGAATGTTGCTCTAGCCCCCATGCAATATACCAAGTACTGGTGGTGATGGCCATCTATGCCGACCTAGGTCTTGTGGATGAAAGCTGAATTGTTCCATCTTCGTTATTGCCTGGATCTTATACATCGCGCTAGAAGGTCATCCCGCTGCCTTAATCCTTTGAAGGCTTAGCATGACTTGTTAAACTCGACTTGCTTCGAATACACTACCGAAGGATGTCTTCCAGGAGGTCATTTGGACTTTCTTTGGCTGCTGAAACATGAGAATAGACACTAGAGGTAGTTAAAGATTCCCTTCACCTAATTGATAGCCAGCAGCGAACCGGAAGAAAGTTCACTAACCTTACTAGTCTTGCCAATTATACAGACACAAAATTCTAGACACGATTGACCATGTTCCAAATTGCGGGGCAAGTTACCATGCTCATATGAAGGGAAAGGCAGATAGCAAACTATGTAAGGTCTCCGATGACCATCCTTCACTCTACTGAGTTGTTGACCTCTGAATACCTTAGTTCTTTCCACGGTATTGGTAAATGAAGGTTTCGGAACCACCAGGTTAGGGCCGCTGTCCACTATTCCTTGCATGTAACCTTGGACGCTAGCCCTGGCTTTTATACAACTACAGTGGCTTCTATGTTACGTAAATTCTCTCACTCCACATTGGCAAGCAGAGCACAATCCACATCATCCCTTGTTATCGTTCTCATAGCTACCTGATGAAAATTCTTACATCACCAAAACAGGACCGTGTCGTTTTTCTGTAGACATTGCACAACATATCCAGATGTCGCCTATGCAGCAGGTATTCGGACGCTGAGCTATTCGGCGCCACATGATGCGGAAGATGTGGGGTAAAATATGGATAGTTGATTATCTGCAACGTTTGGGTATTCATACATACGCGTAGAGGGAATCTAGACCAGATATCAGCATTTGATAGCTTGGGATACGTGCTTATTGGGGTTTTCCAGTACAGATAGGCTCAAGTCCAATTGGGCAAAATGCGGACCAAAAAAAAAAGGCATCAACTTAGAAGAGCATGCTTTCGTAGTACTGTTCAGGGTTATGATAATATATTCGCATTGATAGAGGCAGTATTAGAGCAGACAGAAGGGGATCGTCATTGAATGTCAGCCTATGCATCCACACTCATTTGGTAAATATACTTCCCGTTGAACTACACGAGTCCCAAACTGTAGTCAAGGACTAAGCCAATTGGAATATTCGGAACCTGATCAACGGGCCACGCAAGACACCGAGATCACCGACCTAGAGTAAGAGCAATATCGACCATTAAGTATATATATCTGCTTCTTTTCCCCGTTCATGGATCTCTTAACTTGGTTATCAAAGATTTCATTTCACTGCCCGAGTAACCATAATCCTCAGTATTATCCAATCTTTGCTATACAACCCTCCCCCATAACACGTGACAATGGTCGACGCAGCTTTCTTCCAGGAGAACATTGAGTGGCCTACGTCTTCTCTGGGAGACGTTACGCACGTATCAAATGGACTCCCTATATCGGGGAAGAAAAGATAACATGGGGTCTATCAAAGATCTCCGAGTACTGGTCATCCGTTACCAAGGCAGGATTTGGGACTGTTGAAGCCTTCATCCCATTCGAACCGAATTCTACTTCTTTTTTGATGGTCGTGTCGCCCGTGTCAAGTTCACAGCAGGACATGACGATGCCATTACTAAAGGACCTCTCAAGATCACCGAAAAATGGAAGGGTCTTTCCAGTGTTGGCTTCAATACTATCGACGTCGCAGTATCTGTTCCGGGTCAGAAGAACGAAGCCTATCTTTGCGAGGGAGCAAAATATGTCAGGGTCGATGGGAAGAATGATAAGATCATGTATGGCCCTGCAAACCTGGCTGATGAATGGCCGGGACTTATGAACGCTGACTTTGATTCGGTCGACGCCGTCATCACTGTGTCAACCGCTAAGGTCGACGGGGGGACTTAATCTTTCAAAGGATCGCAGGATGCGAGAATCCAGGTTGTCCGTAGTGCTGCGGACAAATTGACTTGGGGACCATACCCGACTGCGGATTGTTGGAAGACCTTCAACTGGATCTAAGTGGCTCATTTATGCTGGCAGTGTGTGAAGTCTGAAGAGGGATGTGCTTGTCGAGCGGGGGATTACAAAGTAGTGCGGCAAAGTCTAGCCAGCTTAGTATGAGCTTTAGGAGAAATAGATCACCATGATGATTGCAACACAATACAATTCTACCGCCTTGTAAATAAGGAATATGTATATTCTGAAAAGGCTTTGGTTTTGCAACCATATTCCGCTATTACTATGTTCTATAAACACAGAGGAGGTGGGGGCACTATGGCTAATGCAAGAGCGAAGTTGTCGGAAACGATGGTGAAGTCTGGAGATTGAAGAAAGCAGCTCCAATGTATTATTGGGTATCATTAAGTGAGGGGGGAACAAAAAATGGCATAGCTAAGCATCACATGGTCTCCCATAACAATAAGTATCCCTGGAAGTGATCCAAGGCCGCTGGAACATTTGCGGTCTCAAGCACCAGGACATCTTCAGCACTGGGGATCTTGTATTCTCATATCACGCAGAACCGAAATCTGTCCTACGGGGGCGACCTCGTAGTGCATTCATAGCTAGCGATCTCTTCTAGCAATTTCTTCCTCATACAGACCGACGCATATTCCAACGTCGGTTTACCCCAGGCCTCTGCCCAATCCTCCAACCGTATCTCGTTGTCGTATTCATCTTCGTCAATGCAATATTGATTGATTTCCAGTTCACCACGCTTAGCAAGTGAAAGGCATTCCCGGAGGAACTGGGACATGGTATATCTTTCGCGTGTGCCTAGAGTCACAGAGTTGATTCCGAAAGAAGACAGACTTCTAACACGTGTCCAATAAGGCATTTTGTGTATGTGGAAGTCTTCCGAGTCAGAAGTTTACTTTGGTTTTCTTATTATCGCAGATTTGTGATGATTCGTCCATATAACTCGAGATTGTATGGCTTGATCAAGTAAATCTTTGAAAACATATAAGAAAGGTAGACGGTAAGCAGAATTTTGGAAGATGGTATGGGCTCAACGAAGTTGAGGCATGGAATGTTATTTATGCCTATACCGAGCTGTAATCCTAGGTAAATGGGAGCTTCAGAAGCGCTTGCTAGTCATGGAGAACTCCTGGAATATGTAGATGTAACTTTTTTCACCCAAATACATAACACTTGCGGGTTCCATAGCCTGGCTCTAGAAGTTAGCTCCTTCGGGATTTTCACCTAGGCGAAGCGGAATTTATAGATTCGCCACAATTTCGAAGGCTTTGTCCACTACTATATTTACATAATTATGGAGAGTACCTGGTACAATAGGCACTCATCTTGTGTTTAGTTTCCTAATCCAAGGAGCATGAAGTGTGTCCGACCTCAAAGCGGGCTATATCCGGGCTATGTGTATCCGTACAGTGTCACAGAGGTCGGTATATACAGGCATGGGAATCGGTAGCAGGTCTGTGCCACTCTGGGGTCTTGCCCTTGTCCAATTTCCGATACAAAAGAAGGAAGTTTCCGTCGGAAGCGAGTTTAGCCTGGGGTACACTCTTGAAACTGCTCCATATAGGCGGAGGAATTCCACTGGAATACTGCTGGTCTAACACCAAGTTTCTAAAATGGGGCCTTCCGGAGTTTTGTACAATGATAATCAAAACTGCTATCATCTGGCTCTTATGCCGTGTCTTACCCACACATTTGGATTTAAACAAAGAGACCTTCTCTAAACGGCCATTATGTTCATGGAATATATCAGGAACCACAATGGACTTCTGAAACCAAGCCTTTTTCAAGCGTATATCTACTTGGTTTTGCCGAGACCGTATGAGCAGGCTACATTGCGAAGGAAGGACAAAACTGGTAAATAGGGGTGGGTTAATCAGTTTGGGGTCGTGGGTCGGGGTCGGGTATCTTGGAAAACAGGTGTAGAGACATGTTTGTCCATCACAGCTAAGGAGAAAGCCAAGACTAGATGCAGGGTACTTGGTATTATACATATGTATAATACGAGATCTGGATATTGTCAGAGAGATGCAACTGAAATACCTCTACACGAAGATACTAAAGAATAAGGAGGCCCGCAGATTGTTCAAGGCGCAGTATAGAGTAAGCGGGTTGGATACAGGCAGGTATCTTCCTCTGATGATCCCTATTACTGGGTTCTTGATCCCATTTTCGTCTTCCTTTCGTTTTGCGTTCCTATCGTCAGCCCAGCATATTTTGCAAATATTGAACTAAAGTGAAGCATCCAGGCTGTAGTCCTCCCTGCGCAGGGGTCAGAGGTCAAGTAAAACATTCTCTATATGGTAGGATTGATAGAAAACCTGCTATAACAGTGCCCGAGGATAGGTCTGTTGCACAGAATAACGATAATTGCGCAACGCCCCATGCCCTTCACGCAATACTTTATAGTGCGCTGTTAGTGGCAGAGATATGTATTACGTATCCTTGTATGTGTTTAGGGCATACCATTCAACATAAGTGGGTGAGATTGTCTACTTGGCATTTGTCTGGATAGCGACATCAAAACCAAATGTTATAGGGCTACCATACACGCTGGGAGGGATTTACGCTTGACACTGGTTCTTCTTGGGGCCTTAGTGGCCTTTTTTATTTTTCTGGATTTCAATCAGTTCCGGAGATAGTAATATCAGTACATAAGAGTAACCATTCACCCACAATTCATACCCTCGACCGAAAGCAAAAGCAAAACAGTATGCGGCCAAAATAACCATACTAGTAATGAAAAGAACATTGTTCCAAATTGTCTCAATGATCGCCCGGCCTATCCTCGATATCTATTGCTTCATACTCCAATAAAAGGGAAATAGCAAGTTCCAGCGCACATAGAATACCAATGCCAGCAACTTCGAAAGATAAAATGGTGCCCGTAAACACCAACTGAAGCTGCCGACGGAGGCCAAGCCTCTAGACAACGCTGGGGTCCTGAGACATATCGATTATGAAAAGATTATCGAATGCTATCAAGAGACGCTGTTGGACCTCTTCAAGACCAACCTCTACCGCGGTTTTGTATACGTCCTGGTATACGTCCCACTGCCTCGCATTAACCTTCCTGATCTCGTCCTGAGCTGGTTCAAGAGCTTCCCAAAAGCTGTCCAAGACTTCCTCTTCGGTTGGCTCACGCCCATTTGAGTTCACCAGAACAGACATAATGTGTCCATCTTCGGCCTTGATTTCATCCTCGGAGTATAAACTCGAACGGTAAAAGACCTCCCACTCTGATCGTAAAATAAGACGTCCACAGGCTTGATAAAACAGCAGGTAGCCGTCCCGGCGTGCCACATGTGCTGTAACCTTTGCATAGCAATATTTGCCTCTTTCAGTGGCTGGGTTTTGGTCTTTAGCCCCCGGTTGTTGTTGGCCTTTGCCTTTGCCTTTGCCGCCTTTTTTGCCCTTTCCCGTGTCTTTCGCACGATGCCCGTCGTACTTGGTGGTGCGCTTGTAGGTGCGTTTGGGAGCCATGGATGACCTTGAGGAAATTTGAAAGTGTGTTGTAGTAATACAGCGGATATAGAATAGCAATAAAATGATCTGGTGGATCAATGAAAGACTGTGTGGATTTCTGGGGGTGTTCGTAGGTAAGAAACCTTTGAACGCAACCCTCATGTTGGATGATTCTACAGCTGGAGCGCGACTTCCATTTTCGTCACGCAGCTCCTTTGCAATCTGGATCAGGTAAAGGTCAACTGCCCAAAGACTATTATTATTATATATATAGATTATAAAGCAACATGCAGTTTGATATGTTAACGCCAGCTCAACAAGGTTCTGTTTTAGAGCGGCTCTATATGCGAACGGTACTTTCGGAGTAGTTTGGTACTGCCTAAACGATTCCTGGTGCCGTGACGACATCGTCCCAACACCCTGGCCGTGTGACGAGGGATCATATCTTCTTTCCTTTCTGTATAATGAGGTGTTTTCTGCAGGGCAATTCTGCGTTATCCACGAAGATAGCCTGGTTCATATCATCGACGGTTTCGACAGTGCTTGGCTGAGGGTCATTTGTCTGAGCATTCATTTGTCACCAGTCGCTAGTTTGCGTACTTGCTCCATGAGCGCAGTCTCTTACCGTACTGTTTCAATATGAGTTAGAGAGGTTGGCCTTCAAGAGACAGACTAGGTAGCTTACGCGTTCCAGGATGAATGGCAGAGGAACCATTGCAATGGATATGAATCCTAGCGTACTGGACGCCCATCCAATTCCTAGTGACTGTAACATCCTCGGGGCAGCTAAAGGTAACGCTCCACCGAACGAACTTCGGAAGAATGTGTTGCCGGCGAAGACGCTTGCCACATATCTGGGATACGATTCTCCTAGGTAGTTAAGGATTGATTGGAAGGTGAGGTAGAATCCAGGTGCGAAGAAGGCTGTACCAATGATAGGGACAATCCAGTGTACGCTTGTATCCTTCCTTAGTGTTTGGTCTGAGAGACGCTTCCTGATGAACTTACCTTTCACGAGAGGTCCATGCAAACATAAAGAGGCAAACCGGGATGCAGATGGCTCCGACCTGGCCAGGGACAAGGCGGGCTTCTGGTTCAACAATAGCATCTGGTTTTGCAACTCGTGGCTGGTAGGAGAAATATAACCACAGCACGTATACAATGACGGATATGACTGCGCCGACAAGGATACCAAAGAATGCAACTGGAAAACAGTTAAGGTGAGTCTTAAGGAGGCTAGAAGAATACCTACGGCCTTGCTGAATTGCGGTGAAGTGGTAAATTCCGTCAAAAACTGGGGTAATCGTAAGCCGAAGGAAATAGGTCTTGTTCGAATGGTGGCATACCAAATGGGAAGAACTCAAACCATAGGTAGAGAACCCCGTATATTAACATAGTATGCATATTAACAAATAGGATGACCGGGTCCATACAGGAAAGCTTGAAGTCGTCTATTGTTTGCTTTAGTATGCGTATAGCCAGATTAGACTCCGGTGTGTCGAGGTCCGCTGGACTTTGGTAAGACGGATTTCCTGTCTGGTTACGGAGTCGCTGGGCGCGACGAAGAAGGATATTCGAATATAACGTCTCAGGTAACAAAACAAAGATAAATATGGTCGTGAAAGCTGTGACACCGGAAAGAAGCCATAGAGTTGCAGTCCATGTATTCCAACGCTCTCTAGATGTGGGTCATCAGTATGAGGCTGTCCTTAAGGCAGGTTGAATACCTACATTACCAGTGTCCCAATAATCTGTTATGCTATAGTAAGTAGATGCATGAAAAGCTAGATTTGCAGGGCTTTGCATACCGGTCCCAGAATGGGTCCACACACTCCGCTAACTGCATACAAGGCTATGGCATACGGAATCTCGGTGGGTCCATATACCTCCATCAGCGTAGCGCCACCTACACTAATCGGCGCACTCCCAATAAAGCCACCAAAGAATCTCAATATAAGAACAGTATGTAGGTTCTTTGCTAGCGCGGTGCCTATGTTAAACAAACAAAACGCAAGAGAACCAAGGACATAGACTGGTGTCCGTCCGATAGACGGCAAGTTCGATAAAGGCGAAAGCTAGAGTACACCGATCATTAGTGTATCTCCAACACTTCAGCATGCATACGTACAATAAGTGGCCCAATTCCATATGCAATAACGAAGAGCGAGAGTCCCAGTGTAGCCTCGGCAGTGGTAGCGCCAAAGACCTCCTCAATTCTTGGTATGCTTGGTGTGAAAATTGCCGACGCCGCATAAAAGCTGAAGTTCAACAACATAACATCCACCATCACGACCGTCTTGGCTAAGGTGGGCCAATTTCTAGGCATATCTGGATCCTCAGGCCCGCTGAAATCGACCAATATGTGGCGAGCGTCTCCAAGGGAAGTAGAAGAGCTTGAGCTCGTAGTTTCCTCATGCTTTGAGATATCAAGATCGCGATCTGGAAATAATCGGCCATTTGATACCATATTGAGTAACCGGCCGAATGAGCTTTCGCGAAGTAGGATGTCCATCGTTAAGATAGCGGAGATTCACAGTCCGTTCTCCGTTTTTGCAAGTGAGAGGAATAGCAGCGAATGAATGAATGCTTTGTTCTCACTGAGATCGGGGAGGATATAGTTGATTTAATCCTTTATTTCAGAGTACACGTCAAACATTTTATATACGCACTGGTCAAGAGGGGATCGATACATTGATCAGTGTCCTTAGTTCGGAATTCCGATCTGTATTTCTCTTCTGTCCAATAAAGCTCCACCTTCAAGTCCTATCTCCGTACCCGCCCAAGCCATGGTCGGAACTCCGTGCATACTCCAAGTGTTAAGCTTCCACAAGAACGCCGCTATGCGTTCGATCCAAAATTCCCACTGAGATACAAATTCTAGACGCATGTCAAAATATGGATTTAGCTAATCTAAATTCTACCATGACTTAACCTCATGTATACCAGCACTCACGCTACCCCTTTACGACCCTAAATAGATAAAGCTAGCTTTATCATTGTCTAACCGAAAAATGACGCCTGCTGCCCGTGAACTATAAAAGGAGAGTAAGAGGCTTCCGAAAAGTAGCAGCAACCAAATGGAGAAATTGGGGTAATGGTCTCCCCAGAAGTACCGCGAGCACATTTGATGAAATGATACACAGAAACACAACATTGTTTCACCCGCCTAGGATGTCGGAGACATAGTCAAACAAGTCAACTGTTGTCGATGCCGAAATTGCCTTGACAGCCGCTGTGAAGTAGGGAATTTCTTCCCCATTGTACACGCTTCGATTACCGTGAATACCGATCGTGACCTTTCCATAGTTGGAATTACTACTCTCCCACAATCCCTTTCGAATGAGAAGTTGTATGTCCAAGTCACCAAGCACAACTGCAGTTGATGTGCCGTTCCGAAGAGTCAGATCCGGGATGTCAATATAACCCAGCTCCGAGTCATCTATGGTAAGATTGAAGCTGACGGTACCCTTCGTTGACCGGGCTTTAGCATATTTCACTTGACAATAAGGAACGTTCCATCCGTTGAAGGCTTGTAAGCGGGATGGAGTCGCGACTTACCAGTTCAACACTAATTGCGGCTGGGGTATTGAAGACAATCGTGGCGTTTACATTGTACCCATCATTCATACGAGGATTCAAAAGATCAAGCTTGGTAACATTAAACGCGTCGTCACGTTTCATAAATTCTACAATAAGCCACCTGATTAGTAGGATTATAGCAAATAGCGACACAGACTGACTAACCCTCAACATTTAGTCCTATATAAGGCGAGAAGTCATTAGCCATTTACTGATGTACCGTATGCCGAAAATTGGGCAAGTAAAGTATGCAAGAACCTACCCGGCAAGGTCACCGTTTTGTGGATGTCCAAATGGGCAGTGGGAAGTGCTTGCACCTTGAGGGATGGCTTTCCAGTAATGAGAACTGAAATTTCTTCGTTTCTAACTGCATCTTCAGCCAGCTTTGAGAAACAGCTGACGCAAGACAAGTCCAGATCCTGGTCAATGTCGAGATAAGCATCGTTCCCGAAGTCGATGCGGGGGAAAGGCAGAACAGCAAACGAAGTATCAGACCCCGAGTAGTATATCGAGGCATCAAACTCAGAGAGGTGTCCACTACCCATCCCGACATGGAACTGTTGCGATTGCCGCACATGGAACGAGTTAGGCGTGGGATTTGTGATCGACAAGCCGTCGAAGTCGAATTTGTACTTGTTGATGCGATCATTGGCAATGTTAGGAACTCCAACGTAAACCCTTTTTGACTGGTTAACTGGGTTCGAAGATGTATGAAGCAGTGAGGCTCACAGTGGAAGAACGGTGACCAGGACAATACAGCCCAGACCGATCAGATATAGCCACCACCATTTCTTCATATGGGCCTTCCATCTTTGAAATAATGTTGGTTTTGGAACGACAGTGCTCCCGATCTCCTCTTGTTTTAATGAGCTTTGCTCAGAATTGCCCTTGGACATATTCAACAGAGTGCCATGGATTATTTCCTGGACTTCGTTCTCCCAAGCAAAGACGCAAGGGTTGAGCTCACCGCCGATTTAGGTTTCGGTCACGGGTTCTGCACTTGGAATTCAGTTGCTTATCGCAAAAGTTGGTATAAGACTCAGACAAGTGGGGTGGGGGGAACGAGGATTAGAAAAGAGTCCTTCCTAAAGTTGCCGTGGCAATTGAATTGCCGTCTGAACTTGTTGGAAGCGGTCATACCCCGTGGGGCCAAGTCCTGATGCTGATCCTTTCACATGAGATGCGATCAATGGGATATGATATATCTTGAATTACGCGGCATGGACCATGGAAATTCGATGGATGATGTCATATTTGTTGGGAATAGATTAAACGATTTCATGAGCAATAAGCCTTCCTTCACTAAGATCTCTATGGACCTCATATTGAAGGCAGAATGCTTTTTAAAGACTATTTGGTATGCTCGGTTACGACCACGGAATTCAGATAGACCTCGGACGGAGGCCCTAAGAAGGGAGGTGATCAGCACGGGACCCCGCTGTCCAGCGGTAATATCTACTCTGTATGTAAGAAAGATCCATCTTATTTGTGGTAAATGTGATGATTGGTGAATGAACTATCGACTCTCCTGTAAGTAATATTTTTGGTAACATGCAACCTGCTTAGCAGCGTATCGGCGATCATTTGACCTTGCTACGTCTGACAACGTGTCGGATATATCATATTTCGCGTCAACCAAATCTCCACTTGCTACTTCTCCCCAACACAACTTTGATCAACGCCAACATGATCGGTCGGACGACAATTGTTGTTCGCCTAGGGTTTTTAGAACCTCAATTCCCACCCAACTTCAGGTCCAAGCCTAGGCAGTTCATCCGCCACCCTCTCCACGTCCTTGTCACTTGCGTACAAGTCAGTTGGGAGTACGAGGTGCATTGTGGAATAGACATACCCTCTTGCACTCACACAGATAACAATACTTGGTCTTCATTGTCTTGGCCAGCTCAACAGCGCCCCAAAACAGCATGAGCAGTCTCTAGAGCGAGAATAATCCCCTCCATCTCAGTGAGCATCTTCGAAGCCCTCGAAAGCTTGATCATCGGTAACGGCAATAAATGTTGCATGTCCTAAGTCGTTCCAAAGAACTTAGCTTTGGCCTGTTCAGAAAGAGAGCGAGACAGAAATGTGATATCATTAATCACGTCACACATCAGGGAAATATGCTGGCTCTACTTACCCGGCCCCAGCATAGCTCAGACCAGCTGAGATGGAATGGGTACCTTGTATCTGTCCATGCTAATCCTGCAACATATATGTCCTACTCCCATGTAAGACCCCCTTAGTGCCTCCAATTAGAGTAGCGGCATGTTTCTTCGTCTCAAGGCCGTCATCCCCTGCTTCAACTCCCAGAAGCTTCACACTTGGATCATTAATAAACGGATAAAACATTCCTGAGTGATTACTTGCCCTACCAATGCAGGCAACAACCGCATCCGGTGGTTTATTTCGTTGTTCCAGCATTTGTGTCTTCGTCTGATCTCCAATGACAGTCTGGAAAGTGCGCGCGATCGTAGGAAAGGGGTGTGGGCCAATAGCTGAACCGAGAATATGATATGCAGTGTCCACCTTCGCAACAACAACTCGAAAACTTTCGTCGACGGCGTCTCTAAGCGTTTTTGAGCCTGCCTCGACAGGAATGGCCTCAGCACCAAGTAATTTGATCGTGAATCCGTTCAGTGCTTGTCTCCTGATATCTTCCTATAAAGCTGTTAGCTACAAATTTGTAACACTGTTTCCAGCCTGTAGACTTACTGCTCCCATCAAGACGGTGCACTTCATGTTGAATCTAGCGCAGACTGTGGCAGTTGCTTCACCATGCATGCCAGCCCGAGTCTGAGTAATAATTTCAGTCTTACCCAGCCGGCGAGCCAGAAGAACCTTTCCCAGAACGTTGTTAATTTTATGACTTCCAGTATGGTTCAGATCCTCACGCTTCAACCAAATAGTGGCTCCGCCAACCTGTTCAGTAAGGCGACCCACGACATGAAGATGCCCAGGCCTTCCTAGGTAGGGGTAGTATGATCGAAATTCTGCCTAGAACTCGGGATCGTTCGTAAGTTTTTCAAAACCTGCCTCCAGTTCTGATAGGCAACTCATTAGTAATTCTGGGGAATCCGAGCCCCCAAATTCACCAAATACTGCAGGAAAGACTTTTGGATCTTCTCCTTCAGAATTAATTGCCTCCTGTTCATCAAGCAATCCTGACTGGCTGCCCTTTGAATAAGTGGTACCATTCACATGCACGGGAGTATTAGTCTCTTGAGCTTCATTCGATGCCTCAATAACACCAACTCCTCGAGTGGTTCGACATTGTAGGAAATTTCTCCTTCCCCATACCCCAGCACAGTATTCCTCCGCAGGTTTGGACCGATCTCCAGGAGCCGCCTCGGTCAAGGTTGTGATAATTCGACTGCTGATAACAACACCATCTGCTATGCTGGCTACACTCAAGAAGTGATCTCGTGTGCTGACACCAAAACCAACTGCTATTGGGACATTGCCATTGTATTGCTTGGTCCGTTTCAATAGCTGGGGTAGATCGGCATTTAGAGTACCTGTTGCACCCGTGACACCCATACGCGATACGATGTAGACGAATGAGTCCGCAACTTTGCAGGGAAATTTCAGTCAGTTTTCGGAAGTGGCTGGAATAAAGTATTAGAAGCTAGATAGGTCGGACGACTAATGTGAGAAGAGCTTACAAGGAGCGTACGACAGTCTATATACAATTGCCAGTGAGAGTACTTCATCGTGAACGTATCATGACTTACCCGCCCTTCGCACAAAGATTCCTGAATTTCACAGCCTTGTGCGGAGGAAGATCTATCACAATTAAGCCATTTACACCAGTCGCACGACAGTCATTCGGCAATTGCTCCTCGCCATGGCTCAAAAGTGTGTTGTAATAACCCATTAATAGCACCGGCGCTCTAAGACCTGTTTGCTGAGCTTCTGTTACCATCCCTAGGGTGGACTCTATCGTGACATTATTCGCAAGCGCTTGCTATACATATGATCAACGAACGGTATTTGCGGTCTGAATCGTAGGCCCATCCGCGAAGGGGTCCGTGAAAGGCTGGCACTGATGTTAGAAAGAACGGTGGGTATCAAATAGCACTTGAGACTACTAACAACACCGAGCTCAAGAATATCTGCGAAGCGAAGGCTAACAAGATATGTCAATTGAGTCGACAAAACTGTATTTCATACCTGCACCCCCAGCCTCCAATCCCAATGTAATGTCTACTGCCTCTTCAACTGTAGGAAATCCAGCTCTAACAAAGGTTACAAAGGTAGGCTATATTATAAGTCAACAATGCCTTCCTGAATAGTATCATATAACTACAGATAGCTTCCGCTACCACACGAATATATACCCGATTTCCTTCTTTGCATTGTGTAAATGTTTGTTTGATACCCTCCATATTCAAAGAAATGAAGATACTCTGCTGGCAGATCCATTGAGTTGGAAAATACTCAAAGGTTCAGAGTCAACTGTGGTGGTCCTTGGAACATTTTATATCGATGGTCGGCAGCCATGATGAACTAGAGTTCATATCAAGTGAATAAGGTTACAGAGGTGCATTCCAAAACCTGTAATGGAACAAGTGAGCCTGTCATCAGGGGACCATTTGGCCAGGGATTACGAAGAGGCCCATTTGTCCGATTACTTTTTGGGACATGTCTCCGTATTTCTCATGAAGCGCGCTGGCCTGAGTTACTTTATATATATGTCTTGGCAACCTCATGACGCGCAGGTCACCTCATTACTCTTTTACTCTGGTAAATACTAGTAGAAACTGTAAGTTCAGCATGATTGGTCTGACACCGTGATCACTGTGTATTTAAATATAAAACAAATGCAACAGTGATCAAGCATAGCAATAATAACTCCGGTACTTGACTCCGGCATAACAGGCGATGACTAAGCAAGGCTGTTCGTCACGAGTTTTAAAGGATCGTCGCTCTAAGACATACTCTTTCCAGTATCACTTGATTTGGTGATCGAGCCCAGCGAAGTATCGTCGCTATGTTAGCGCAGAGCATTTATATTGATGTCTGATCCGAAGAATGGTGCGACAACAGCCCGACAGGAAGTCTGCGAACCAGCAGCATCAACCTCGGGACAACCGGGAGCATGATGATAGAACTTCCGACAGCCACGAGGGCTTGCCAAATGAACCTGCTCCAAAGCGCCACAAACGAGGAAAATACGTGTCAAAAGCTTGGTACGGAGCCAGAAAATAATACGTTACAGCCACGTCGCTGACACCTCGAGCCTGTTTTCCAGTGGCCAATGCCAGAGGAGAAAAATCAAGGTGAGAAAGCCAAAATGGTCTGTGTTTGATCTGTCCCTAAGGCCGTGGAATGACTGTAGTGCGATGGGTGCATCCCCTGTCGACCATGTGTCCTCAATGGCCGAGATTGCCTCATGCAGACAATCGACATGCGGCGCCGCCGAACAACCGGGCTGACGGAGTCTGGATTTCCCGACAGGGAGCTGGCCAATGCGGACGCTGGCTTTCATAGTCAGGACGATCAGTATGAGCCTTGGCCATATTACTGCGCCCGTTTAATAGAGTTAAGCTAACTGTACGATCAGACTAACTGCAAGAGACCTTGCGTCTCGACTTAGTCGGATTGAGCATCAACTAAGCTTAGTCTTGGAGTCAGTAGGCCGCGACAAAGGAAGCCCAGTTGACAAAGAACTAGGAACCGACGAGTCAACCAATCTCCTAGAGACTGGCGTACAGCGGAACATCAATTCTGATGTCTCAAATGCTGCTAGATCACAGGTACCAGCTTTCTCAGGTGAATCTTCTATTAACCACACCCTGGATCAAATTGAGGGCTACCTGGAGCGTACGGATGTCAGGTATGGTCATGCAGAGCGTCTTATGTCCTGTCAGGCATCAGGTACATCTTTGACTGCGCCAAGCTCCCCGGCAGGTGGCTCTAGAGAGACGCATGAGACAGTCGATATACGAAGAATCTTGAATACATGTGGCATCCATCCACGCAAAGAAGAATGGGATGGGTACATGCAGACCTTCTGCGATGAGGTTCACATTTTGTATCCCTTCCTTCACATTCCAAGCCTATGGGCTAATTATGCCAACATGTGGAATTCTGGCTTTTCCTCCACGGAGCATGAGTTTCAAAGAAGCAAGGATTACCGGATGATGGTCGCTCAAGTATGGGTTTGTATCGCACTTGGAAGATGTACCGAATCACCTCGAGTAAGCAGTGAGGAGGGCAAGCACTCTGCTGGATGGAGTATCTTCGAGGCCGCAATGGACCTTATTGGAGACCTTGTCGGCTGCTTTCGGGCGTGTTCAAGACCTATCATTACATTGCAAACTTACGCATTGATGGTACACGGTCTGACTTCAGAATAGCACTATACACAAGATGCTGACTTTTCCCGGTTGTCTCAGGTCGTATATCTTTTTCGACTCGACGCCAATGAAAGAGCGGAGAAATTCTTAGCGCTTGCCATCTCGCATGCACATCACCTAGGCTTTCATCGGTCCAAGGTCGTCCGATGTATGTCAGCTTTCAACGATGAGATGATTCGGCGACTATGGTGGTCTCTTTATGCACTTGATCGCCGATTAGCAATTGAGACGGGCCACCCATTCCTAATCCAAGATGTCAATGTCGATGCTCCTCATCCCCAGAATCTGGACGACGAATGGCTCAACCGGCACAAGGAAGACTCCAAGACAAGCAATGAGCTAGAAAACGACATCAAGGCAGCACTTTCGAAAGATCCCACCACACCAATACCATATTTATCTGCGACCATCCGCTACTCTCGAGTTGTGGGGAAAATATGGGAGGCAATCTACGGTGCAAATATGACGGACGTCATCCCCAGCTCAAGTCTACTAGAATACCTAGACCAACTCATATCCCGAGCCCAAGTGGAAGTACGACCAGAGTTCTCCGATAGCCATCAATCCGAGCCGCCCAATCTTGAGCGAAGTAACCCACTTCGATGGCTTACCAAGCAACAGATGCTGATGCGAATCGTACGAAACTTCTCTATCTTACTTCCTTCACCCCCTCCCACCCATTATTCCATTCCTTGGTTACTAACCACATACCCAGCGATGGCTCTCCCTCCGCCTCCTCATCCGAAAACCAATCCTCCAACAACGAGCATCACCCCAGGAATCTATCGCCGACATCCTCGAAACAGAAGTCACCTGCATCCGAATCGCCTGCAATATCATTCAGGAATTCAAACAAATCCCCCAATACACGGCGTCTGCATTCCCCTTCCTCCACTCACTAGTCGGCGCCACAGTCGTCACCCTAGGCCTGATCATCCGAGAGCCCTCGTTCAAAGCAATGTACGGCAACATAACACTCCATGCTGCAATCTCACTCGAGAACTACTGCCGCAAGACATGGGTCTCGGGAAAAATGATTCGAACAATCCGAAGACTAAATCAAATAACTTCGTCCGTTCTGTCTAATTCCAGAAATAGAGCGTCGAGTCGTTCCTCAATGCAGCCATCATCCCACAACCATACCACGGATACCAACCGTGTCCCTCAGACCACATCAACCACAACCTGGGCATCATCCACTACTCTTCCTCTTGAGAATCCTACAAGTCACACATCCACTGTTCATGCTAGTTATATCCCGATTTCGGCACTGACGAATCAAAATACAACTTCCCTTACCACAAGTCCTATGCATGCCCCCCATTCAATAGCCCCATCAACACATTTTCAGCATGCTTCCGAAGGATGGACTGTTACGCCGACGAACCTCGTGACCACGGACTTTGACTTCGAGCAGAGCCTTACTAGTGACCTTATACCGGATGGTCATGTCTACGGATGGATGGCCGGAACACAACCAGGTGAGATGCAGCAGGATGGAACTGCATACATGGAGATGGGATGGCTGGAGTCTTTGTTTGGGACTGATCTAGGGTCTAATGTTATGGTACCACCTGAGGGTTAGTTTAGGTCCTCCTTTTTCAAGTGCGAGGTTTGGTTTGTGTATAGTATCTGAGCAGATGCGTGCTTAGGTGTTGTTGGATAGATCTTAATTTATGGGGGTGATTACCCGTTCAAACTCAGGTAGATACAGACCAAAGGCGTGTAGCCGTTTTTAATTGTAGTCTGTGGTTTTACTTTGCCATGGCCTCTGTACTTCATGGATAGTTTATTTCTTAAATTCGTTGCTGAAGCCGTTAGATTGCTTGTATGGGCTTGTCTATAGATACTCCATCATTTGCTTGGCCGTGGCCTACTTATGTACCAGTCATCAAAATAGATCGGTTCAATTAAGTTGCTTTATTCTTTTCTATTTAGTTCTATTTTGTCTTATTCTTTTGTGCATTTTATTTTTTGGTCGCACAACCTTTGTACGGGGGCCTGATATTAAACTATACACTAGGTTTATGGGGATATTATTCTAAAACCGCACTTCAAACTGATATAGATGGATATACAAACACAGATTGGTCAACGAAAGTGCAGTTGTCTTCTATAGAGCCTTTCCCTTAATCCAACAAACGTATCTTTGTAAGTTCTATCCTATAAGTCACAATAGCTGCATTTCTTGCAAACTCTATATCTAACATACCGCGAATAAATATACTATTCAACGCTCATCGACACTCACGCAATGCCTTTAAAGGGCAGTGTGGCTAGGCAACACGCCCGCATTCTCAAAGGACCGATAGGTCTCAATCCACGTTTCGAAGGTATCGTCTGTTCGCTGCCAACCGTACTTCCTGGCCTTGTTGACAGACGATATTGTGCACCAAGACTTGCCGGTTGCCCAGTTGAAGAAGCCCCAGGTGCCCCAGTCGAAAGCTTCGAGCTTGCCTCCGTATTTCTTCACCACGGCTTCCCAGATGGGACGCTTGTCTTTCGCCCATTCTACCATGTCGATTTCGTTGTTAAGAGTATCAGTTTGGCCGGCGGCCTTGTTGAATTGAGGCTCAGGGGCCTAGATGGAGACTGTTAGCTAACCATTCGGTCTTTTCTCTGTATATGAGATAACATACCTCCACGCCGAAGTATTTGGCAACATCTTGCCACAGATATTTCCACACGAAAACGTCTCCGTTACAATGAAGGAAGTCCTCATTTTTGCAGTGGTCCTTTGTCGTAGCGTGGATCGTCAAATCAGCCAAGCTAGGTGCGTAAGAATTGTCGTCTATCGAGTTCCAGAAATACTCGTTGCCCGGGAACTGAGCGGGCTGGCCGAGCTCACGGCAGATCAGCATGTAGATAGCCACAGTCAGGGCTTCGGACATCCCGTTTGCTGTGATATAGCACAGTTTAGTTAGCTCAGTCAACAGGTACACACATACTGCCAGATGGACCAACCGTGAGGAGCAAATCCATTGATTGCGTTCGGGCGGATAACGTTCCAGGACCACGTGTTTCGCCTCTTCTGCACCTCCTTCAGATAATCTTCCTGGACGTAATAGAAGTTGTAGCCCTTGTCGTCGTATCTGGGCATGTCCTCCGATAGAGGGAACTTGACAGGTCCAAGGTGAACACCATAATACTACGGCTCTTTTAGTGAATCTTCACAACCAAACACAAGTAGCTCAATAAAGCATCGCAATACGGGAGACTAACCTTTCCACCGGTTTGAAGGCAAACCCGCTCCAAATTCGGGCAGACTTCATCCACCGCATCCATAAAGTTCTTGAATAAAGGTACGTTCTTTTCTTTCAAGACCCTAAAGTCATCATGGTGCACGTACGAGGTGAAGTATGTATGAGTAACTGGCGCGCAGATGTTCCTCAACTTGGCGACGATCTTCTCTCCCGGTTCGAGGAAGTCCACGGCCACAAATTCCACGCGAGGGTCCGGCCAGAAATATGCCAGGGGGCGCCTGGAAGTCACAATAATCTTCGACCTATATCGAGTTGCTTAGAACAAGAGGCCCTTCACCGATGTAAACGATCGCCGTTTGAACATACCACTCGGTCTTAGGCTGCCGAACCAGGTGCTCGATGATTGCGAAACCACTGATGCCATTGGCACCTGCGACAAAAGCGACATTGCCGGATAGGGGACTCATGATGAACCTTTTCTTATGTGGAAATCCTTGAGGTTGTTAGATAGACGAAATCAAACAGGACAGCCTTCAACCTCTTTATAGATGGGCTGTCTCATCATACAGCAGCACATATCGTGGACAATAACCTCATTCGGCATCCCGCTGAGACTGGATGGGTCAAGAATCGGAACTTCCATGCAAAACTGGCCGCTTTTGCCGATGTGCATATGGGTCCCTGGTGTGGCAGAATGCGATAGCTCGCAATGAGAACATTGCATGACTCCTGTTCGGAGATAATGGTTGTAGTTCTCTGCCGTTCTGACTTGCCCGCGTGTCTTTCAGCACCACTGATGGGCGGCGATATAATAGATCTGCAGCACTAGAAAAGTTACCAAAATATTATAGGCTGTGGCCTGACGAGTACTTGAGGATTTCCGGTGTTGTGGGTAAACCCAAAGCGGAAGGTGTGGGTCACGTTCGGTGTTCGGAGGCGGAATTATTGCAACATTTCCGTTCCATTTCCGTTCCATTTCCGTGCCAAGTTCAACATGCATTAAATTTGGTTGTCTGGGTCATGTGTCCAGTGTGTACAATTGCGAAACGAGTAGTTTCTGATCGACCTTAGTGATTACTGAAGTTAGTATCTGACAGTTCTCTAGTCAGACAGCTATATTGGTTTCATACCTATCTACATGGGGTCCCTCCATGTTTTAATTAATCTACTACGGTTGTGCGCGGTCTTTAAATCTGAAAGCGTGGTGTTTCCACGCTGTTTGTTACTCTGGGGCTTGTTTGGACTTTCTTATTCTATCTCAAGCGCATGTGCTACTAGTAAGACCTTACTACTACTAACTAGTATTCCCACTGCCCGTGACTTGGCACTACGACTAACTTGAAGTACTTCTACCCTTCCAGAAATGGTCTAGCGCCTTCACCGCAATCTAAGTTCTGTTTCTCTTCTACGACCATCTAACGTCCTATTCAGACATCTAGTTTACCATCCATTCTCCTCTTCCCGTCGATCGTTCTCTTGTTATGGATTCTTTTGCTGGCCTGTTTCTGTAGGTGTCTGCTCGATTTAGTCGCAGATATCCAAACCTACAAGAGCAAAGCCATAAGCGGATAATGATCTCATGATTCCTACTTTCACCTGTTATGTCATTCCAGAACTGCCATATATGTTAATGATTCAATATCCGCTCGACTTGCTCGCTTTTGAAATCCACCTCCTTCTCATGGTTTCTGGCTTTTCTTTTGGGGCAAACCCTCACGTGGTGCCTGGTGCCTGATGTAAACAACTCGCAACGGTTACCTCATTCTTTCGCTCACTGCCTCATTTTCTTTTCAACCATCACATTCTGCCCAGTTCGATCTTCCATGGCCTTTCTTTCCTGATTGTCTTTTCTCTACTGTTCGCTGTTTCCTATCTCCCAAAATCACTAAGCGCCAACTAGTTGTATTCTTTTCATACTTTTCGATTGACTACAGCACACCATGCATATTCTCGAGAGAATTAGGCATGACCTTGTGACCGAAGGTCGTGGTCAATACACTCTTACGGTCGACCAATTTAATTACGACTCCTTTGACGAGCTATTCGAGGAAATGAGGCCTCGGTATGTTTACCTATAATGTTGGGTGCAAGCACTGACAGGAACAATGAAAGCCATTGCTACAACTCTTTCACTCAAATGCTTGACGTCGATATGCCACTGTGGGTACATGGGCTTTGCATTAATTGGTTCAATTCTTGGGTGACCCAAATGGTGGTGGAAGGATACGTCGCCCAAAGATCGTTATATGTTTCCACAGGGATTACTTTGAGAGGGTTCACTGGCCGCTTTCACGGGAGGTATGTCGCCTACAGTCTTCCTATCATATTAGAATGTACTAAGACTTGTAGTGTAAAGGAGCCAGATTGTTTCATTACCTCACGCGGAATATGGCCTGGTGTTACGCTCGAAGTCGGATACTCAGAGACGTATGACAAACTATTACAAGATGCAGATCTCATGTTGGAAGGCTCCCAGGGCAAAATTCGTCTGGTAATACTCGTGAAGCTAGTCCCACCCGGGCCCAATGATACACACTTTGAGACTGGATTTGTTGAGCTACATGAGTATAACCCTGCATCCGGGACCAGAAGAAAAAGAGGTTGGAGAAAGGTAGGTCTAATGCATGGCGTTCACTTTGCATGATTCTTACATTAATTCAGACACTTTATCCAATTCCGAGAAGCCATGGTCAGCAGCGTATCACACTGCAATGGGATGATATAATTCGAGACAATACAGACCTTCTCTTACGCCCAGTGTCAAGTCCCCCTCCCCCCTTGATGCTTGATGACTTGCGCAGATGTGTGGAGTTTGGACTTGACCAAGAACTGAAGACTCGAGAGCATTTAGCAGAGCTCTGAGTTGTTCCTTTCCATGTTTTAACTGTTAATCTGCTTGAGCACTGATAGTGGTCGAGGCCGTTCTTTAGCTACACTTCTAATATAATTACCTTTGTTAACCTACTCTTCATACTTGCTTCATGCCATATGCTTTGACTACTTTAACTGTCACTTCAATCAGCCTAAACTATGCTCTAAGCATACACGCGTCCTTCTTTAGATACGTTACTCCTCTGGATTAATGCTGTCAAGAGGAATTAGATATAACGCTCTGTTCAGAGTTGAAGAGATGGAGATGAACATATTAAATCGCATAGCAATATGAGATTCTTGTGGAGTAGAAACACGATTGTAACGGGTTTTATTATATACCGAAGTCAAGTTTCTAGTATTTAATCTTTGAAACAAACGTACTAACACCCATACCCGATCCTAAATCTGCAAACACTAGTAAGTAGCCAGCTAGATCATCTTCGAAGCCATCTGACTGCGCTGCCTAATCCTCGCCCCATATCGATAGAACACAAAGGGGATGAATGTCAGAAGTACCTCCACCAATGCTAACATCGTGCCCGCCCAATTCACCCCCATTACCCCATACATCTTCGAGCCTGCAAGTGGCAATACTCCGCCAAACACATATCTAACAATCGAATTTCCAGCGATCGCAGAGGCGGCATACATACCATAACTAGCCGCCAGATAGCTCGTGGCATATATGAAGACCAGCCCATTCCCCAACCCAAATGGGACACCCGCTAGTATGTATGATATCCAATGGACAGGTGGTCGGGCCGTCCAAGAAAACCAGAACTCTCCAACCGGGATCAATATGCCACCAATGCATATTGGTCGTACCAGGGCCTCTGGTGGGATCTTGCCTGTGATCGGGTCGGGGGGATGCTTTGCAATGAGGAATTTGCGGACTAAGGGTTCTGAGAATACAGCCAAGGCTATACCAGTGCCAATGCCCAGATAGCCAAGCCCTGCCAGTCCTGGGGACCACTCGCGGAGTTGCTGAAACACAATTGGATACCCGACAAAGCATAGGAATAACACTGCATATATAACACCCACGTATACGTTCCAGAACAAGCTGTCCCGTCAGCATGAGCTGTACTTAAGGGCCCTCAATTACTCACCATATTGGTTCAAACATAGCCATAATTAATGGTCGGCTGAGACTAGTCTGCAGCCTTTGCCAGATACTTTCTTCCGCTTGGCTGTCATACTTCGTCCACCAGCGCGTATCACCAGTTTGGGTTTGCTTCGCTTTTCGTCGCCTCTTAAGCAGAACGGGTGCGTACGTCTCTTTCACCAAACAGAGACATGCAGTTGATGCTCCACCGCATATAAGCACAATCCAATTGATCCAACGCCATCCGAGATACTGGTAAACAAAGCCGCCGATAATAGGACCTAGTGATTGTCAGCGGGTGCCTAAACCGGTGATTTTAGGGAACTAGGTTGTACCTAGAACCGGGCCATTCATTGCCCCAAGGCTCCATAAACTAAACGCTAAAGCTCTGTACTCGGGGTGGATTATATCGTTTATAGTGCCAGGTCCAGCAACTACCGAGGCACTGCCGAAGAAACCACCGAAAAACCTGCTGATCACGACGGCCTCGAAGTTTGGTGCCAGTGCGACCGGTAAAACTAGGATAGTAAACAAGACACCAGTACTGATGTAGATTATCCGTCTTCCATACACTTCAGACAGAGGCGCAAGAACTAGACACCCCAGCCCCAGACCTATCATGTAGGTGGTCAGCCCGAGAAGCACCACAATCCGAGATGTAACATCGAAAGATTCTTGGATTCCCGGGGAGCCGGATGTATAGGACGTGGAATACAGTATCCTAAAGGTTGTTTATATACTCCTGTTAATTCTAAGCAATCCTCCAAGCCAGGGAATTATAGTATACATTATGCGGGGAGGAAACATTGTATAACTTACACGCATGTCGTAGTCAGTGAGACAGACCAAACAGTGAAGCATTTGTACCACAAAGGCCAGTTACTTGGATTTTCCTTGTCATTTTGTTCCCAGTCAACCTCGAACGCAGGATCTCGCGGTGCAGACTCAGAATTCTCGGCCAAATGTCCCATACTGACCGTTGTCGGCGACCAGGCTGTCTAAAAATACTACTCGACACAAGGTAAACCATCTTAGGGTATGCCGTGTATTAGTACCTTGAAGGAGAGTGACACGGTCCTACGGTGAGTACCCAACGATAAGCTGTCGTGTGTTTAACACGAGGCATGCACAGACCTAGCAATCCCGGTTAGGACATCGTTCCTGTAGGTATAATCATCATGCGAGACCGTATTAACAAATTATATTGCAGTATTGGTTGCTAGGATCCTTAGGGGTGGACTTGGTGGATCTGGCATACCGGAAATAGTGCCGGAAACCCGGAACGATTTCCGCTCGAGTATAAAAGTTTGGTGAATCAGTCCCCTCGGCATGTCGATCTGCATATCCAATTGTTCATATCCTTGTGATTCTAGAAATCCACCAGAATTCTGTTTCAACCTGAATTAAAAAGCAATCAAGGTGAAATTGGGGCGCCGAATTGAAAATTCACTTCCGTAGCCGGTCACTAGAATATCCCCGGACGCCCCTGTTCGGGAGGCATACATATGAATTCAGCTATAAAGTACACCGGCATTCTACTGAGCTCATTGCAATAGATCTTGAAGTGTGTCGACACGAAACACATATTCTTTTTCAAGGGTCAAACTAATCATGTGTCCACCGGTGCAGTTGCCTTTCAACACACAAAAAGGTAGCCAGATCGATGGGCTATGCCACTTTGTCTATGAGAAGTATGGCTTGTTCTATAACGGGAAGTATAAAGAGGACACCCTGAAAGCTGGTTCTTTGATACTGGGAATTCGCCAATGGCATGGCAATGGATTGTTCGCTGGTAGAGGCATTCTGGTCAACTACTGGTCCTACGCAGAGCGTCATGGAAAGGCGGATGATGGGACCAGTGGCGTCTCCATCACGTACGACGAGCTAATGGCATGTCTTGCCTAGCAATCTCAACCTTCGAAGCGAATTATTCAAGTTTTGAAGGGTGAGATGTTGCTGATTCGATCCGGTTTCACACACACACATACGTCCAACTATCGGAAGACCAGGAGCGTGAATCAGCATACACAACGCCTCACACGATTTCTGGGATGGCGCAATACGAGACAGTGCTGGAGTTCCTTTGTGATAAACAAGTAGCTATGGTGGAAGATGATGCGCTAGCATGGGAATGCTTGCCTCCTGCCCATCTTCTATCTTCCTCTACCATGGAGTCTTGTTAAGAGGCTGAGGATGTCCTATTGGAGAATTACTCTGGTTAGAGGACCTTGTTCAAGCCTGTGGTGGACATAAGAAATAGACCTTCTTTCTCCCATCGGCCCCACTCCATGTTCCTGGCGGAAATGGTAGCCCTGCCAACATAATGGCCATTCTTTAAAGATTAGCCCCACAATAACAATTGACGAGATGGCTTTTTAATGGGAAATGAGATGTAGCGATATCGCATATGTAAGAGAAAGGCTCCCGATAGCGGTAATTCTTTATCAATCTATCTATCAATCAATCAATCCACTACCCCTCATCGGCATCCGCCGTCATGACCCCCCGCACACCTTGAGTATCCTTGTTACGTAACTTACACCATAGAAGGCTTACCCACCCGCATAATCAGGATGTCAGGTGTACCGTACCATACACATGCCAATGATGCAACACCCCTCATCAGGCCTGTTGGAGATTTGGAGGCCTTCCCTTATTTAAGGCCGACATTTTCGTTTCATGATTTATGACATTTAACGTTCTCTATTATACTATAGACCCCAATTGTACTTCTGTAACCCGATCATCACGAACACACCCACCATGTCTCTCGCAACACTCGACGTTAGAACCCCCAAGATATCCCAACCATAGGACACCGACTAATGACTGGAATAGACATCGCAACACCCCAACCTCCCCTCTGCATCCGCGACTCTCTTCAAGGCCAAGGCCGCCAAGAAATTCAGCTTCGAACAGATTGCCCAACACATCGGTCGCAACGAAGTCGCAACCGCAGCCATCTTCTACGGCCAGGCCAAGGCCTCACCGGAGGACATTACCAATCTCGCTTCCCTCTTGGAAGTTTCCCATGAGCTCTTGGAGGAGCAACTCGGTGGCTTCCCGGATCGCGGCAAGTCCGTGGAGATGCCACCCAAGGAGCCTCTGATCTACCGCTTGTATGAGATCGTGCAGAACTATGGATATGCCTACAAGGCCGTTTTGAACGAGAAGTTCGGTGATGGCATCATGAGTGCTATCTCATTCTCGACAAAGGTGGAGAAGGAGACCGACGCTGATGGAAACAACTGGGCTGTTATTACCCTTCGGGGCAAGTGGTGAGTACCGTTCTTATTGTTTGTGTGTGAGGATTGTGATTCTGACGTGTATAGGCTTCCTTTCTCGAGATTCTAAAGGGTTCATACCACTGTGACGGGCAAGCTGAGTAGGCTCGTGTATGTGGATTGATGATGTTATGTCCATGTATGTATGAAAGTAAATAGTATGAAAGCATATGCCTGATGACAACCTGTTTCCAAGTTGGTACAGTGTAAAATGTGAGAGCGACAGACTTTCTCATAAAGAATAATTGAACGATAAACCTAATATGAAACTCGATCACAGCTTCAGGGATAAAGGTTGATAACATCCTGTTTATCAAGAAGTAATAAGGAGCCAGATGCTACTGTTGTATGCAAATATTTAAACTATGTGGTTCTCTTATTGTATGTATCGATGTAGAACTTCTCAGGGCTCAAATATAGCCCATAGCGTGATCCACTCAATTGAGGGAAGGAGTATAAATACTTTTCGACAGAGTCATCACAGTAATGACAGACATGGTCGGTTTGGTAGAGCAAACAATGTCTATATTGACAAACACATCTTTAGAGAACCAGTAGGCAAGGTCTTCTATGAAAACTACTACAAAGCAAAGGGCAATTCACGAGGTACGGCTTATTATACTGCAAACAAATGAAACAAACCAAAGCTGTGCTAGACTAACAGTATGTCCATGGTGAAATTCACTTTCACCCCTACGTGTTTAAATTCACTTCACTGGACATCCCCCATCAGCCTGACTACAACACCCAGCTGATGTGATCTTGGCCCTTAACAATCTTTGTCCGCAATTGACAGGTTCTCCTACATTTCTTCCCTTTCCCATCTCCTCACTCTCTCATTTTCTCGTTCCCTTCATCATCATATCCCCTCTCCCTAATACTCATACATCCTCCCTCTGCTGGTCTCATCGATACACATTATCATCACTATGGCAGAAAAGACAACCTCTAAGGTGAAGTGCACCTACGCCGGCTGCAAACTAGTCTTCAATTCAGAAAAGGCCATGAAGCAACACAAGACCTTTGACTCTGAGCACGAGTATTGCACCCAGTGTGACGAAGACTTTGAAGACGAGGAGCGCCTTCTCATCCACAAGATCAAAAGCGTCAAGCATATTGTCTGTCCCGTTTGTGGCATCGAGTTTCGCAGCGATGGTGGTCGCAATTCCCATATTCGTCAGGTGAGAACCTCGAGCGATCCCATAGCCATCGCTACTGATCTGATCTCCGGTGAAGAACCACCACTCTATGCAGATTATCCCTTGCCACGGTTGTAAGGCTACTTTCAAATCCGCCAGCGGCCTGATGAGCCATATTGAGAAGGACGAATGCCCCACCATCCGCTATGTTCATCTCCTCCGGGAGCAGTCCAAGAAAATGATGATCAGGGAGGCTCTAGGTGCTGGTGAGGGAATAAATCTGCCAATTATCCCTCCACAGGGCACCTTGGAGGATACCGAATACGATGATGCGGACGGTGGAGTTATGCTTGAAACCGGTGAGGGGGCAAGTCATGAAATTTCGAATAGGGAAGCTATGAACAACCAGCCAAAGCCTGGTCAGGACGACCCCACTGCTAGTGTTTCGGCGATGCTTGCTCTGAAGCACTGGCCGACTTTGGATGGGAAGGCGTCCAAGGGAAAGAGTATTGCTCCTAGTGACCTATTGGCTTTCTCCGAATTGAGCATCGCGACAGGCAAAGACAGCAAGTCGTGGAAGGGGAAGGAGCCTGTCAGATCTAGCTCCGATGTTGTGTCGTCACAACGTCCATTTGGTGTTGGAACAATCCGCCCTGGAGACACACTGCGCATGCTCGATCGCGCATGGGATGCTACAAAGTTCTTTAATTCATTCACGGGCCAATACGTCTGTCCCTGTAAGACGGGCTTTGCCACCATGGCTGAATTTGAGAACCATGTCCTGATGAAGAGTCGCATGATGGAGGATAGACAGTACGTTGCTGCCCGACTGACAGGTTATTGTAGCTAATTATAACATTCACTATCGTTAGGTGTCCCGGTTGTCTCCGCTTCTTCAAAACCACCGCTGCTTTGGTCGCGCATCTCGAATCGCCCAGCACTCGCTGCAGCCTCAGTGACGGTGAGAGATACGGTCAGATCTTCGAGGAAATCACTGGCGGACTTATTCAAACTGCGGGATACACCGAAGATGGGACGATCAAGTACGAAGCTGGCAAGTTGGAAATAACCGATAGCTCCGAACCTGGTACTACCACCGTCGGTACGGACCTGCGTCTGCGTCCTCAGCGCCGGGAGTTCTAGTGCTCTGGCTCCGTCGCCTTTGCCATTCTCTCCCGCCCACTCTTCCGGCGGCCGACACAACCCCAGAGTGCGTATTTCCTACACTCATGTCAGACGGCGAACATTCCAACAATGGAAAGCGATTTGTCGAAGAAAGTCTGGAGCCCCCGAAAACTGGAAACGGAGTGAGATAAACACTGTTATTTGACGAACGCAAATTTAGCTAGCAAAGTCATTACAACATCGCATTAAGATATTCACAAGACAACATAGAGATCAATAACGGGTAGACGGGTATAACTCATATCCGGAGGGCCTTCCTCCACACGCCTTCAAATCGTAAATAATCTCCCACCAAACTAACAGCACTCCTCACAGCACTCGAAGCAAAGGATACCGGCGCATCTACTGCGGTTAGCTCTCTGTTCATAGGACATCATCATGTAGGAAAGAATAAGAAACCTACATTCCACAACAACAATCACCCGCACCACCGCCACGCAACTGCATGTTCTCCTGAGTGTTCTAAAAGAAATTAGCCTTCCAATTCCTTCATCATAACCTAGTGATAAAAGGGACATACTGGTTGGTCCGAAACAGTACGGTCAACCATGGGAGCAGGAGGACTAGCTGGTTGTTGCATCGTCATAGTATTAGGATCCCAGGTTGGTTGTTGGGTACGGGGAGATTCCTCCTTGGAGGACTTGAAGAAGTCAAAGAGGCCCATGATGTTTGTTTTGATGTAAAATAAGTGGAAAAGAGAAACGTGAGCAGTCTATTCAAGTATATACCAAGAGAAATATGTCATGTACGATATTGAATTTAGAGACTACCAAAAAAAAAAAAAAAAACCCCAAAACAGCGATCCACGAGCCCTTAAATACCACCGGCGTGCGACACGCCCCAATCATTAATTGGAGGGTGCCTGGCCCTCACCTCCTCGGCTAATAGTATATCCCAATAAACAGAGCATAAGTGGAGCGACTAGGAGAATAGGAGGGGCTCTTCCCTCAACACCAACCAGTGACGACCACGATGAGCTCCACGTCATGGGCTAAGCCCTGTCGGCTTGCGTTTTCATGACGGTCGATCGACCCGTCCTATCCGTGATTTTCTCACGGGGGGTGATGATTGGACTTGCTCTAGCTAGATTACTATCTGCCTTGAAGGTGCGTGTTTCCGTGTTAGAACTAGATGCACGGAGTAAGCCGATCATTATCCATTGAAATAAATAATGAACAGAAATAAATGCATATTTCCGAATTTTCCGATAGAGTTAGGTTATTTTAGCGAAGATGAAAAATGCACACGCAGGCAGCGCTGTTTCGTGCCGATGGCCCGCTAAGCTTTCGTTAAGCTTTTGGCTTGGTTCGGCGGTGACCTATTTTTGGGGCTTGTTCGGCTGTTGGAATGCCGTGTAATCCTGTCCTTGTCACGTGTATCACGTGGATGCTTGAATGACGGTGAATCACCGAGAACAGTATAGCGCTCCTATTAAAGATTAGCGCATTATAGCTGGTTAGCACCTTTAAAATCAACTATCAGTATCCAGCTACCTGATATACTGTAGACATTCTACTTCAAATTTCTCTTTAGTTATTAAGATATACCTACACTCATCTCATCTCAAGCATCGCAGCATATCGTGTCGCAGATATTCTTCCGCTAATCAGAGATGATCTCGGCGTAGCTCCACCGATTGATTATACTCTCTCCGTCTACCACAGCGTCAACTATTCTACCTAAAAGGTCATCCTTATTGATCAGCTTGTATAGTTGATTCCTGCTACGGATTTTCTATCATGGAATGGGAATAGTCATATTTATTCTATAGGGGCAATGTGACATTCAAGGTCTCAATATCTGTCGATTGAAGCTCCAATTTCTAGATGAACCAGTTACAATACTTAATTGTAACCTTTTGACACACTCTAATGGTAGGGATCAGCTATACAGCTCCCCAATGGCTGATACTAATGCACCCCTATCATTCGTTTCTTACGTATGATGATGGGGGGACATCGCGGAGTAGCGCATCTTCATAAAGGTATAGTGGGCTTGGCCACCATAGCCATGGAGAATCCTGCGAAAGAATATATCTCAATACAGTTCGACCAAAACACCATATGGTGTCACGGTCATGCCTTGAACATCTTATTCCTAACAATACATATCTTTGGGTAACTTGTGCTCACCTTAAGCTAGAATAGAACTGTCATCGAGGCTAGCAGTTTTTCATCTGTGTCTATCTAAAACAAAGAGACGGATGGGAGAATAGCCGTGACACAAGTATGTGACTTGAGTTATATACGTATGCACTTCGTCTAGTGGACTCGTTCTCCAAATCTCAAATATCTATGCGACAGTTTAAACAAGAGGAGAAGGTACGGAAAGGAGAACCTTTACCATCTCGCACAAATACCTGAACGCCACGATACTGCTGATCCTTTAACTCGAGCCACATTTTCTTATCCCTTACATTTGTCTGCAACGTGCTTAGCTTCCCACCACAGGTACTGGCTACACTGCACTTCTATGGTATTATGGACTTTGGTGGCGGTGTACTGTGGCTGGGGTGTAATGAATCAGTTGATCTGCTCACTCGCTATGTAGTAGGAAGTCCAATCCAACTATGCAGAACCAGGTCTCTGTATGCATGAAAGCTACCAAGCCGTCACTTCTATGGTCCAAGTGTTTCTCATAGCCTTCAAAGGCCCTTTCACTCCCATTTCTGCAGCTGAGGGGCTCTTTTGAATTAGTGGAATCAGATCGGTGATCACATACACGGGTGGTGCTCTAGAATTTGGGTCTTCTCAGTATGGTATGCATGCCTGAAGCGATCAACACTATAAGTATATACGCATATAAACCAATACAATTCCGTTAAGACATAGAAGATTGGCAATGTTGCGGCTTGAAGACCACAGCCACAGGAATACGCGATGTGGCGGTGAGATTCCGTGCAGATCTTCGCAGGTTTTCTGCATCACTGCCCCACCGTGAAGTTTAATTATATTGATTAAGGTAAGGAGCTAAGAACTCTGTGATCTATAGATCAGATCTGCCATCGGCTCTACCTGAGTTTAACTATCTGTGGTCTAGACCTATTCGGATTTAGGAAAATTAGTGAATAACGTAGCATCGCTTACACAGTAGTTCTCATCATTGGCTTGCATTACGCAGGGTGGAGCTAATTAGTAGTAATCTCGTCTCTTGACTAGAAATGTGTTGCTGATTTAAGAATATTTGAACGCGGTCCAGCCAATATAAGCACAAGCGTGACAAAAGAGTTTGGCTACACCGCTTGGTGAAAATGATAACAGTAAGATTAGGGTAACAGCTCGTCCATAAAATCACACGACGGCATTTATATACTTAGCCTCTATAGTCTGTAAACCCGCTATACGAAATTTGCTACCGGTTTAACCCTTCATACCTATCATCTCATTAATGAGATATTTTGCAATTTGGATAACGATCTTCTGCTATTATGCTTTCCCTTAAAAGCCTTGCAAGTCTATGGAGACTATGTTGGTGCGGAACTACCAAAGTGGTCGAGGGGTATCTCACAAGCACAGTATTTGTCCTCAAAGCTATTCTTGGTGTCGAAACCCCAGACACGCTTGGTGATTCAGATAAATGCCAAGGGAAGGTGGACTATGACTTACCTCTTCCTGAGGTTGCAGACCGCGTCCACACAGCATGGAAGGGACAGGGGCGTACCATACCATTGGACGTATTGTGGACCCGCAAATCAGCTGAAAACAGCCCTTTGGCAAAGCATATTACTGCAGTGAAGGAGGGGCAGTACGGGACGGGTTCGATCGCCCCCTACCGGGAGGGTTGGACCTACAAGCCAGCTCTCGGGGTCAGTGAACTGCTCGGTCCTGAGGGCCAGAGTGGACGTTTCAGCAAATGGTCCCGTGAATTGGTGGAGATGACAGAAAATGGTATCAGCGTGCTACGGGAAATCATGCGATTTCGCGAAAATGCCGATATGTCGGATACAACGCTTAGGAAGAGCTCGAAAGTTTGGACTCAGAAAGTCATCATTGGGGAAGACCGTGTCGGGGACATTTTGCGCAAAGCACGTGAAGGGGCCAACGGCAACCACAGCACAAAATCAAAGGTCGTTTGTTGTCCGTCCCCAGCCTATACTGAGGTTATGGACGAATTCGGGTTGAGAGGTGTCGCTGCATATCCTGTCTTCCTTGGGTCTTGGTGGATGGCCCTATTGCTGCATGATTTCGATGATTGGCGACTGGATTACTTGTGCATTTTGGACTACTCATACTTCTTCGAATATAACGTGGACAGCGCTCGGATAATGTCCCAGTCACCGTCGTCCTTAAAAAAGGAGATAATGGCAGTTTGGGATATGCCAGAGCTCCCAGAGGAGCTCCGGGTCCGCAGGTCGCACATGGTCTGTGACATGGCCTTCTTTGAACTCAAGCGTGCACATGAGGCTTCTGTCCGAGCACAAACGACCGACGGGCTCACTGCCTGGGTTCATGCCGATCGAGATACCTGGCGCGATTTCAAGGCTGTAGATGCTGGCGGCTTCGCGCATTTCCTGTCATTTGTAGCAGGAATTCCCGGACGCGATGACATGATGTTGTCTGGGCTCGTCAACGACTGGGTCGATCTCGGGCCGGATCTACGTTTTGAGGAATGCAACCAGTCTGTCTTCGCTCTCACCCGTGGATCCTTGGCTCTCGCTGACATGCTGAGCTGCTATGAGCGAACCGTGTGGATGTTGAATGCCAGCTTCGATTCTAAGGAACGCCATGTGGGCTTCATGACCATCGCTGGCGCCTGTATATGGGAGCTATGCAACCACCGTCAAGACGTGTGGCGGTACTACTCTCTAGCCTTCAACCTGAGCTCGAGTGTGCAAGCATTAAACCTGTATAAAATTGGTGACCTTGCAGAGTGTTATACATCCAACTTGGAGCCAAAACTGCTATCTACAGCGAAGGAGTTAGATATCCCGCGACGAAACCAGTCGTACCGTGTCTCTGTAGACGGAACGGAGTACACGGGTACGATCATGCTTCATACAACCGTATGCAACGCCGTCGAATCTGGCATACTCCCGGAAAGTATAATCAATTACCAGATTGTCCTTCCACTTCTCCTCCGCCGTGGAGAAATTGACGCGAACACTTTTCTGTCACACATGGACCGTCATTACTGCACACATGCTGCTGAGATTACGCGGTCCGGCCATGCCAATGATTTCAGCTATCAATATGGTCGGGCCATCGCTGCACTTGTGATGGAAGAGTGGTGGTCGGGTCTTTACTTTATCATTGGTGTTGGTAGTCTTATTGAGGCTCAGCCCGGCCATATCGCCGGGGATCGCCCTCACTGATTTTAGGCTCTCTGGTCTATTCAAGGGACAGTCTTGCAGTCATTCTGCAAAGTATGGACCATATAGGGATTTAGGGCTCTTTTGTTCCGTGCAATTTTATAGTAACCTAGGAGTAAATACGTATCTGGCCGGATTGGTCTAGTTACCCAGAACATGAATAAAAACGAATCTATGGATATTATTTACATCTCCCAGCCCCAGTGTCCTGATGCAGTGTTGTCGATAGGATGCCGGTACTGAGAACCAAGGTTTTAACAATAGGTGACTCAACACGTGCGTGGAGCTTCTGAACGCTACGACTTACGTGTAAATAGTAGTTTATGGACAGAGAAGGGTGGAAGGCAAGGAAAGAATGAACCTGGGAGACTAATTATGACTTGGGCAATACCTAACACGTGCGCATCGGGTCACATGGACTAAATAAATATGGTGTTGACTGGTCACATTATCTAACGTTAGAATAGTTTGTTGTCCCTGCAAGGGGTCCGCCCAGACCCTACCAATCCAAAGTGTATCGTATGGACAAGCATTAAGCGCGAAGCAAAAAAGAAAACAGCCTCTTCCTGCAGACTTCCTCTGCACTGTGCGTCCTGCTCTGTCACTATTAGGCGGTCTTACCGACATGAGTTTTCGTCAACAATATATGTCCTCGGATTTGTCCGCCATGGGCTTCACCTTTCCATCTCTCAAGCCTCGGAAACCTGAAAATTGGCATGAATGCTACTTTTAATTATGTCTCTGTTAGCTTGGATTATCTCACTGGTAAATTCTTTTCATTATATTTTAAACCGGTCCATCGATGAATCTAACCTCTAAGATCCAGGTGTTAAGCTACCCTATCCTTAGAGCCATCTATAACCTCACCCTTCACCCCCTCAGAGAATTTCCCGGACCAATCCTGGCCTCATGCTCTCCAATCCCACACTTCTACTGGATTTATAGAGGTATTTTCCATTCTAAAATTCTTAATCTTCACAAGAAATATGGCTCCGTTGTCCGCGTCTCCCCAAACATCCTTCTCTACAACAGTGCCCAGGCATGGAAAGATATCTGTGGCCACCGTAAAATAGGTGATCTTTCGTTCGAAAAGGACCCCGAATGGTACCCCATTGGCCCCAGCGGAGTATCCATTGTCAATGCCATGGAAGCTGACCACAGCCGCATGAGGCGTCTACTCTCGCACGCCTTCTCAGAGCAGGCACTGCGAGAGCAAGAGCCTCTATTGCAATCCTATATTGACTTACTCATCCGTCGCCTCCACGAACATTCCACCTCTACAGCAGCCCGTGTAGACATGACTCAATGGTTCAACTACACCACCTTCGATATCATTGGCGACCTCTCCTTTGGCGAGTCCTTCGACTGTCTAAAAACCAGGAAATACCACCCTTGGATCGAATTTACTTTTCGTAGCTTCAAAGCGTCTGCGCTCATGCGTCCATTCCTTGCACTGCTTCCCCCATGGCTATTTGAGCTTCTGTTACCTCGGAGACTACAAAGGATGATTGAGGATAACTTCTATATCTGTCAGGAGAAGGTGGCCCGTCGTGTAAAGCTCCAGACATCCCGTCCGGACTTTATTAGCTATATCCTTAAACATAACGACAATGACAAACGTCGCATGTCCCGGGATGAAATCGATGTGAATATGGCCCTAATTATAGTGGCTGGTAGTGAAACTATTGCTACCCTCCTATCCGGGTGCACTTTCTTTCTTTTGCGACATCCCGAGGTTTATCGCCGTGTGACCACCGAGATCAGGACGTCTTTCTCGTGCTATGAGGATATCAACTTTCTCTCTGCCGCCAATCTACCATATCTTAATGCAGTCCTCGAAGAATGTCTACGCATGTATCCGCCTGTTCCAAGTGTTCTGCCAAGAAAGGTTCCCAGTGGCGGAGCGATGATTGATGGGAGATTTGTTCCGGCGGGTGTATGATCTTCTTAACCTGAACCTAACCTTTTCTCGATCGTTTCAACACTAACAGCTGAATGATAACCTAGACAACGGTCTCAATGGCCTATCTATCCGCTTTCCGCTCAGAAACAAACTTTGCTGAACCAGACTCATTTCTCCCGGAAAGATGGCTTGACAAAGAGAGTCCTCGATTCGCCGCCGATAAACGGGAAGTCCTGCAGCCATTCTCATACGGTCCAAGGAATTGCTTGGGAAAGAAGTACGTTCCTATCGATTATTGCTGGGTAGGTATTTAATTGACGTTCATTGCTGTTTTTAGTCTTGCGTATGCGGAGATGCGTCTGATTGCTGCGAAGCTATGGTGGAGTTTTGATATCAAGGCCGTTGAAGATATTGAGGGTTGGATGGATCAACAGCGGTCGTATGCTATCTGGGAAAAGTATCCGTTGATGGTTAAATTGACCGCTGTTGAGCGGTAATGATCTCTAGTATATTGGCCAGTGGTTCAAGGTCTTCAGAGAAGACTATCACCAGATGCCATTCGCTTCATATTTCTTGGGAAAAGGGATAATATTCAGACCGAGGTCATGGGCGTTCTGCGGCCAATCTAAAAAGTCACCGTGTGTTATTTGACACCCATACCCATATGTTCTTCTTTATTTGGGCATGTACCAGTACAGCTTCCTCTCACCACTCCAATCGTGTGGGGCAGCAAGTAATAGCTCGAATACAGGAAAATGGGGCGAGCGTGATGTCGATACCACAGATGTAGCGACTGAAGGACTCAGAGAATGTATATGCAGGCCGAATACATTACCGGCGAGGTCAAGAAGTATAACCCTGAATCTTAGTGCTAGTCAATTGCAGCTCTGGGAATGAGAGCCAATCTCAAATTTTCACGTGGAGGGACGATAGTGGCCTTGCAACATGCAAAGTTTTCCAATGTCCCCATTCCGCACTGATGCACCTCTTAGCCATAATTCTCTATTTACATTCACAGATACACACGTGGTTTGAGAGATAATGCGTAAGGAGTAAAGCAATCGCGATCTCTCTTCCGCTCGCGGTAAGGAGGGATGAAGATCAGGCTAGGCCGGGCTGCCGCATATAGCGCCAAGGACAAATCAGAAGCATTGTGCTATGCAAGATAAAAGCGGTGTATCCAATGTGAGAGGATTAATAAGACTCATCACATTTGTTGTGTGTGGATGGCAATGGCAGGTGGTTTATGTTAAGTCTCTGGGCCCTTGGGTAGATGACTATCGTTTCAGGGTTCAGTACCACTTTCTTAAAAATCGGGATCTTCTCTCTTCTCTTACTCGCTCAACCCGATCGTCTCCTGTGTCGATATGTCTATCAACCTAGCTTGCATAGTCGTGGGTTGTCTCCTGGCCTTATACCTAGCTCAGGACTTTCTGTATCCCAAAACCAAACCACTCCCACCCGGCCCACAACCCTTACCCTTGATAGGAAATATCCATCAACACCAATCTGCATCACCATGGGGCAAGCATCAGGAGTGGCACCGAAAATACGGACCCATCATCACGTTAAAGCTAGGCTCGCGGACAGTGATCATGCTAGGGTCCCAGAAGGTAGTTCGCGACTTTGCCAGGATGGGATATCTCTACTCTTCACGGCCTCGTCTGATCCTTGTCGGGGAATGGATGTTCAGCGGTATGCTTCCGGCACTTATGCCCAACGGTGCGCAATGGGACGCCTCCCACAAGCTAATCGCGCCTTTATTCGCCGGACATGCTGTAAAAACATACAATGAAGCGGAGGCTCTGGAGAGTGCACGCATGGTATATGAGCTGCTAGGGACACAGTGGCATCCTACGTACTTCCGTACTTATACATCTAGCATTGCAAAGCTCTTGGGGTATGGGCAGCGGGACGGACCAGACCAGGCCGATGAGGCTGCGCAAGTCGAGGCTCTGATTTACGAGGCTTTCGGTGCGGTTTCCATTGACAAGGTGCTGGTGGATCTGTACCCCTGCTTGGATCATCTGCCAGCGGTATTCGCCAAGTTTAAGATGACTGCGCGGAGACACCAGAAGCGTGTTCTGGATCTGTGGTCCTTGCGTGCCAAACGCGCTATCCAACGATCTGATGTTTGGAGCTGGACGCAGGTGGTGCACAAGAATATGCCTGAAGCCGTCATGTCTTGGGAGCATTTTATCTTTTTACTTTTCGAATTGGAGTCTGCCGCAACCATCACGACTGCCCAGTTCCTCAATATATTTGTCACGATCGCCCTTGAGCATCCACATTCCATACAAAGAGCGCAATCTGAGATGGACGCGGTGGTCGGTCATGACAAATTGCCTAGCTTTACTGACCAGGATCAACTCCCATACCTGAATGCGTTCATATTGGAGATTGCGCGGCATCGCACGATGGTCCCCGTGGGGTTCCCACATGCCGCTATGGAAGAGGGTGAATATATGGGCTATCGCATCCCAACCGATGCACTGATTATGTCCAATCAGTGGCTATTAAACATGGACGAATCGACCTATGATAACCCAGAGGTCTTTCGGCCAGATCGCTGGATTGAGAATCCTAGCTTACCATTGCCGTCTCTATTTGGTTTTGGGCGGCGAAAATGCCCTGGGGAGAGAATGGCCAAGGACTCTATTTTTATTGCGATTGCACGCTTATTATGGGCATTTGATATTAAACAAACTGCACAGGAAAAACGTGCATCTTCAACAGACACTCATAATTTACTGTACATACCACAAATTGAAAACGTCACCTTTGAGGTCCGCAGCGCAAAACACCGGGCCGTGGTTGAGAGGCAATGGCGGGAGTTGGATAAGGATGAGAGACATCTTATGGAAAGGATCAGCCGGTATATGTAAGGTAGTTAGTTATATTATGATTACGCCAGGTTGCCCATTCTCCACCACAGAGTCAGCCTAGCCTAACCACCAGTGGACACCTTTTCACACCGGTCTATCCAACCATGTTATGTTGACTTGTGTGCAATTCACCTCTGTATTCCGACCCAGCCCACTGTTCAATGGTGAAAATATCGCATCTCTCTTGTGACGTCACATATATAAGGCTCCGTGAATGGAACATACACTCGGAAACCTTCTCGGCCGTATGATCACTACACGACTCGCCTCAACCGACGCTTATTCCATATGAAAGAAGTCATCGGGTGTGCGCACCACTGGGAGACCCTCTTAGCCGTAATTTACTTTAAAATCTTAAGTAGGTTTTATCCTTCTCTTCGTTCATTTTTCTCATTTTAGAACATTGTGTATCGAGGAGATACAATCTAGCGATATATCAAACGGTCGACATCTACTCACTCGTAGAGACGGCCCTTTTTAGACGGGCTCGCCTGATCCAATGTTCCTATACCAATCCGGCTGACTGACCCAGAATCGTCGGTGATGTCGCCCAACCGAATGGATATATCTTTCAATAACAAGGCCCTGTCTATTCCACCTAGTGTACCTCCGCCGGGTGGAACCTCAAGGGTCGGTGCATCTCGCGTCATTGTCGACACATACCCAAGAATATCCGGGTTTCGGGTGAAAAATCCGAGCAGGGCCGGTACAAAAGCCCCGACAATGATGGTCACTATACCAACGATCGAGATGGCAAGCCATGGCCAGCTAATCTCATATATAGGAGGCGGGGTAGTATCGGTAAAATTACCAGTACCATTGTAGGAACCCCCACCATCTGACGCAGATAGCAACAGACCGTAGGTGTTGACAACCTGAGTCAGCCGCAGAAGGAAGATATCAACGGGGATGGTGAAGGTGGATCCCGTGTAAATATCCGCTGCTAATGGGGTGTCTGGATTCCGGAAGTAGGCTTCGGTTAGAGAGCGCTCACTGCCTGCTGACCTCAGGTAGCGGAAAAGAACTTTGATTGCTCGAGCGTCGGCCCAGTAGGTGCCGTTGGCGTGGGGACTTGTTCTTGATATAGGGCGGACAGCCGTGGTGGCACAGTTGGCAATGCCGTCAACACATTTGACTCTCATATCGACGTATTGTTCGGTAAGGTTGAATGACGCCTTGAAGTTGGTGTCTGGGATGGTGAAGTTGAAATATACTTTTGTTAGACCGTACCTGGTTTCACTCTTGTCTATAGTGTACATGCCGTCGTCCTCAAAGTCAAAGCCTTTGCTGTTGAATGTAGGCTCACCTTCGATGGAACTCATGTGAAGGTTATAGTAGGGCGCCTCCATGGTGAATTCAGTCTCGCCACTTTCATCCTTGACCCCCTCGATGACGATCCCAGTCAAAGAAGAATAGTCGGTATTGTTCGTGTCTAGTTCTATCCAGTCGGATGTGGCAGATCCCGGATCCCCTAGGTCGACAAGTGGAATTTTGAGGCGGCCGAAAATATCCAAGGGGGAGTGTTTGACAATGTCGGGTGATAACAGGCTTTCCTGGTACATAGCAGTCGCTTTGGTGAATGTTGTCGAAGGGGTGAATGTGTGAGTGCTTAATTCGGTATCATTGCCATATGTAAGGTCGATAGAGCGGGTGATGCTTGTCGGCTTGGTGTAGAGCATTCGGAGGATAGACTGACTGCCTAATGGTGAGATACACCAAAGAATGATGAGAAGCAAGGCCAGTGGGTTGATAGATCGAAGTGAGATCTGAGTGGTGACAGTATTAAAGAAGGTCGAGCTTCCAAAAAGCTGCTCAAGAACGCCGATAGAGACTCCGCGCTCCAACTTCCACGCAGCGAGTTGTTGGTTCATCCGTCCGATCACCGCGGCAAAGGTGAGGGGAAATAGTGTTGCGCCCTGCATGATAATATTTTGGGCTTGTAAGCAAGCTTGGGCTTATTCTATTTGGAAAACTGGACTATCAATCTTACCAAGTTCATTGCTGTCTCGACTCGGTTCCAGTCCGCCTTGTCCACCGAACTGCCATTGCGTTTGATGACGATCACGATCAGAACCAAATAGAGCACTGCTGTGGCAATACCGAGTAGATTCACGAGCAAGCTACCTATATCTAATCGACTAAGCTTTCGGGATCCGATGGGCCATCCGGCGATATCGAAGGCGGTTTGGTCTCTCTGGTTATCTTTCTCCACAGCAGATACACTTGCGTCCTTTGGATGCAGCTGAGCGTCTGAGTTTCGACTGTTTCGCGGTGACTCTGTCCCAGAAAAGGAGGCCACTTGCGCGCTAGGCGCCCCATGATAGACTTCTAGTTCCATTATTGCATTTACTGGAACACACACACGTAGATCTTCTAGATAGAAGTAGTTGCTTTAAATGTACTGCATGTTTCAAATGGAAGGAAACTCAACGATAGGAGTGGGAAGCTTTGTGGAGATAATAATTTGAGTGTCGGTTGCAACCGCACCTTATCTTCAGGTCCAATTTTCTGGTGAAGAAAGTCGATTGGGGTGCTGAGCATCTTACCTGCAGCTAATGCTCCTGTGGAGTTTTCCCTCCAATATCCTGATGCCCCACCATATGAAGTATTTCAGCCCAGCCAATCGTAGAGATAATGCGCAAATACCGTGCATATCCTTCCCAGTATCGGGTAGTAGAGATGGGGCTGGGGCCAAAATCCTTCCTTGGCAAGGCAGAACCGTGCAGCTTTACGAGTTTCTTTTATGTTTCGCGCACTTGCGCCTTTTTTCCCTTTCCCCTCCTTAAGGTTTATCCGACAAGACGAGGTAAAAGTAGTCAAGAAAGTGCGTCAAAGGCGGATAGGAGCCACATAAACAAATGGGACCTTATACCCCCGGCTCCGGTGGGACAGACAATGGAGAGTCGGAATTGCAGCCAGAACAGCAACTATTCATACCTAACTCGTCTAAGCCGGTGAGAAATGACCGGGACAATCTGTTAAGACCGGTGAATTCTCACGATGAGCAACCTGAGTCGTCTACTCTATCGGAATCACAAGCGCAGCGTTTGATAGATACATCGACGGCACCTGCCTCGCTAGAGCGGCCGTCACAGACCAGGCAGCTGCGGTCCAACAAGTGGCAGCTGATATTTGACCTCCTCAGTGCTATCTCTGCCTTGCCTTTTGTGGCTTTAGCTCTGGTTGCCATCGTCTATAATTCGAGGTCGGTAGATGAACATGACTGGGATGATCTCCAGATCGCAATGAAGACGGTTTGTGCTCTGGTATCTAGAAAGTGAATGTTATAGGCATACAATCTCACTCTTAATTATAGTCGGTCACAATATTCCCTTTAATATTTTCGGCCGTAATCGGCCGTGCCATACGGCAGATTGCTAAACAAAATCTCGAACGTGGATCGACTCTCGGAAGACTTGAGCAGTTAAGTAAAAGTACGACGGTATTCGGTGCCATCTCAACACCGTTAATGCTGAAGTCCTGGAACATCTTGGGCCTCGTACTCGTGCTCATCTGGTTGGTCTCTCCCTTGGGTGGGCAGGCGTCACTATATCTTATAAGCCCACAGAGTCTTGAACACGTCGAGCAGCAGGAAGTGCAATATCTTGACATTAATGGCCTCTCCAAGGCCCCAAGCCTAACTTCATTCCCGAGGCTTACAGACGCCTTGGAGGCGATGTTTCTGGCCTGTCTGATCGCGCCGGTAAGTGTGAAAGAGGCTTACAGTGATGCCTGGGCCAATGTCAAGATCCCCTTACTTCGAAGTCTTGTTCGGAATAATACAGCTCAGAGTGAAGGATGGTTTGAACCCGCAGGCAATAACATCACTTATTCGTCACTTGTCGGAGTACCGATGTTCGGGATATCAGCGAGAGGCAACAGCACCTTTCAACTACAGACATCTTACATTGATACAGACTGTTTTGAACTCGGCGAGGCACCTGATGACCTCATTTACAAGTATAATGGCCAGAATGGCCAGTTCCGGATCTATCCAGCGGCCCCGTGGAATGTCACCCGGTCCGTAAATGCTTCAGTTGCACCCGACATACACGTGCTTTCGGGGTACGGAAAGGAGGCTACAAATGGCGCTCTGATAACCTGTCATCTGACAAACGTGTATGTCGAGTTGAAAGTGCTTTGTTCTGGATCCAACTCCACAGCCCAATCTCAACGCAGCTGCAGGGTGACAGCCATCCGGGAGAGTGTCGAACCACATCAGTCTTCATCCCTGCCGCCGTTGATGTATCCGGACTTTAGTGTTTGGGATACCTTTGCACAGGGTCTGGTGAATGCCTCTCTGTCAGTGAATAGGAAACTCGGGACGTACACCGAGGCATATCTTCAAAATATTGACGCGACCGAAACACTGCCGCTACCAAAATACCTCTTGAAAACGCCTGTGAACGATATATCCGACCATCTCACTCAAATCATGAACACGTTTTACTTGGGCAGTATTGCTTTGCCCTTCGTTACCCTGGGGCCTAAACTTCCCTCTCAGGGCAACTACTCCAAATATTCCGAGGCTTATGAGGCCTTCGATCGCTCTTCATTAGCCAGTGTACTAGCTGAAAGAGCCTATCGGGATGCAACTGCTACATACGTTGTGAACTGGGGATGGGTGGCTGTTCTCTTATTGGCAAGTCTAATGCTAATTGCAGCATCTGTTGTGAGCTTTTGGGTGGGACGGCAAAGCCTAAACCCCGACATTATTGGATATGCTTCAACTCTGACCCGCGACGCTCCTTACCTACCGCTTCCTTCAGCGGCAAGCACGCTGAGTGGATTCGAACGTGCACGGTGGTTGAAAGATGTTCAAATTCGGTTTGGTGATGTCCAACCGGAATCTACAGTTGGCAGATTAGCCATTAGCACTCCGGACTTGGCTGACAGGTCACGCAAAGGCAGGCTCTACTTGTGATGATTAAGAGTTACGGTCGACTATGTCGACATTGGATTTAATAATTATATATTTCTGTTAGATATTACTAATGTAATAGCGATGTAGTATTACCATAGTCCGATTAAGGTTAAACCCTACTTTCTGGCTACCTCGTGCAATACAAAGTTCTTCCTCAGCAAACCGTACTGCGTGCTGGTTGGTGACCTACATAAAAGCGCCTGTTTAGCAGTGGCAAGAACTTATTATGCAATTTTGACAAAGATTGTCGGACCTTGTAAACATTATACCAGGGAATTTAATATATTTCAATAAAAGCTGTCCAAAGTTTCCCTGGCCTACCACTTCCATGGCTTCCCTTATCTCTTCTAGAGCATCCTTCACAGTTCCTTCAAAGGTCTTCATAGCTCGTAACCTAAACTCCTTCCTATAGTACTGAATTGCACCGGGCTACAGTTGCGGATATGAGCTTTCTCAAGATTTCAACATGATCTTCTATACCCTTTATTAAATAAAATGAAACATAACTTACTCCTAGCTAGAAGTACCTACCTAGTAACCCTATATTACCCAATCGGGTAAAGTCCACCTCGCAAGCCAAAGAACCAATCACCTGATCCAATCACAAAAAGCTGCACAACCGGCTTAAACCAACCACCGTAAGTTTTCTGCTTGCTTCAGATACGAGACTCGCCTTATCAGAATCAAAAAAAATAATCGCAGAAAAAACCCATACTCACCACAAACCCAATCATTGATTTCTCGCTGCCTACTCCCAACATCCGAAATAAAAACCAAACCCACCAAAATGTCCACAACTACACCCGAAGACATCCAAACTCGGCGCGAAGAAGACTACGCCCGCTTCAAAAACTACGCCGCCTACACATTCCTCGTCGCATCCCCAATCTTAATCGCTCTCCCACCCCGGAAACTCGACCATCTGACTGTGCTCCTCGGCACGGCCTTCGCCTTCTCTGCGAACCACATCACCTACGACCGTACGGGGCGGAGTATCGTCGACCGCGTGCACTCGAAGATATCCTCCGGGCGGACGATCGTGCCGAGTGGGTTGCCCAGTGAGCGGGCGCTGGAGATCCAGGCGCGGTTGCGCGCGTCAAGGGAGAAGCAGTTGCGGGAGGGGGGACTGACGACGGAAGAGATTGAGAAGTTACGGGCGAGGGAAATGCAGGATAAGGGGGTTATGGAGAGGGTGTGGATGGGTGGGGAGACGGAGGGATGGAAGGAGAGGAGATTGAGGGAGGAGCAGGAGGCGTTGGATTCTGGGAAGGGGTATGGGGATTTGATTAAGGAGCATATCTGGGATGTGTGGACTTGGGGGAAGAATGATGGGGAGGGGAAGAAAGAGTGAGGTTTTATTTCTGTGCACAATTGTATAGTATGTGTGTTGCAAGCATCTTGGATGGGCGTTTGGGGCTTACTTTACTGACTTTGTGGAGCGTTGGATATGGGTCTTTTTGTATACTATGTATAGTATGGTTATGTGTGATATGTGATGGTGTTTCTCCACTTATTGTCACTCTACTGATGGGTTCTGTTGTAGGAGTTAGGGTTGGAAAGGCTGAGGGAAGGCATATTTGCTAGCCTAGCTTGTGAGCAGCATAACTCCTTTGATGGAGTACCTCTATTCATCTGAAGTAGGCCATAGCCTGTACAACTCTTATAGTTGCCGTGATTAAGAGTTTGCCTTCATTCGTTGTTTATATTAAGCTTTCTGCATACATCATTTCCGTACGGCATCCCATGCATGTTCCCAGCCATAGGCTCGGGGAGCAATATATCGATCTGACAAGTCTATAAAAAAAGTGTAGATTAGCTCAGAGATCAGTATTCAACATCCTACTAGAAATCAACAGGCTGGATATACCGCATCTACTCCGTTACCTTCGACACGATCACCAATCTAATTGGGGATATGCTAGATATATCCGATCAAAGTTCAATGGGTATTTAATCTTGAAAAATCTTGGCTCAAGGAAAAAGCACGACCCAACAAAAACCTACCACTCCCCGAACACGTGCCCATATCCAAGCCCAGGAAATGCACAACTTCTCCATTCCCTGCCCAACCAAAGGCTGGCGTCTCATCTACACCCCATATGGTTCAAGATGTTGCGGAGATGATCCTGTGTTATACTCATTTTGATCCTTCGACGCTGCCGCCGATGCTTGATGACTCGTAATCTTGTCAATTCCTGGGGGAGAATAAGTGGCATTTTGAAGGAGGGCCTTAAAATTGTGCAGCGCTGAAATCTAGGGACAAGTCGGCCTGGTGTTGCCAGATAAGTGGAACTGACTATGAGGTGATGCGCAGGGCTCGGTAGTCCATGCAAATAAGTGGCTGATAAAAGGTTGCTGGGCTGAAGTCTACTATTGAGATGATTTTCCGAGCTTATATTTGATGTGAAAAGCAGAGACAGGCGATGGTACTAGATACCCAAGACGGTTGATTCAACATGAGTATAATTCTTAGTGTTTCACATCGGTTGACAAACAAGTACACATGCGTGCTTCTCAGTGGAAACTTGAAACAGTAACCTAATACTTCTTGAACTCGACTCCTCACTTCAAGCCCTCCTTCTCTTTCATGTATTCTGACAACCCTTCATACGTTATAGCAAGGTTTCTTGAAATGCTAGAATAGCTTACGTAGTATCATATCCTTCAGGCTATTGACATACGTCTCCCCTAGAGGATATCAATTCTCGAACAAGGCCTTTTCTCATCGATGGGACAGAATTGATACGCCGGTCATTAGAGGTAACTATGCATTGACGCTACGTTGAGCTACTCTACCACATATCATGAGTAGATTCACAGCTTCATCCGTTAATGCTTTACAGCTCAGATACCACAGCACATCCTACCATAGCTACACTGGACTCTACAGGATCATTACGTACTTGATCAATAAGTGGAGAAAAAACAAACTCCATTTCTAAATCAAAACTAGAAACTGAAAAACAAAACAAAAGGAAATTGCTATCCTCCCATTCGGGCTTGGGAACAAGGGAAACATCCTCGCCACGTCAATAGACATATGTGTACGAGGTAAAAACCTTGAACAGGATGCCAGAACATAAGAAACCCTTTATTCCGTTTTCCTCCAGCTGACCTGTTTATATAGGCCGCTTTTACCTTTATAAAAATGTAGCCCGTCTTGAAAGACAAGGTCTACTTTAAACATCTCCACTGTAGTCTGCTTTATGGGCTAGACTACTCTTAACGTCCCCTTTTAATGAATAGTAGCCTGCCTTTAAAGACAAGGTCTACGCCAACGTCCCCTTATAAAAAAGAGTAGCCTGTCTTTAAAGACAAGGTCTACCTTTAAAAACCACCTCTGTAACCTGTCTTTAAAGACTAGGTTACTCTAAACGTCCCCTTTAAAAAAATACAACCTGTCTTTAAAGACAAGGTTGCCTTAAACAATCCCACGTAGCCTGCCTTTATAGACAGGTCTACGATCCCCAATATAAAATCCTCTTTATCCTCCCCAGCCTACCCATACAGAGTAGGCCGTATACCTAGGCGGGACATCCACTGCACGTCTGCCGTGGATGCCCCTATAAAAAAACATCAACCCAACGACACGTCTGCCATTGGGTTACCCCTTATCCTCCACGTCCCTCCATTTGTTCCTCCACCGGATACCTCAATGTTTTGTCCGTTGTGTCGATATAAGGGAGCCATATGATGAGAAAGATTTAAGTGAAATGACTTAAATAACTTAAATGGCTTAAAATGGCTTAAATGGCTTAAATGGCTTAAATGGCTCGGAGGGTTATTCGATTTGTCGGACAAATATTTTGTTTTTGTCACCATGACTGCCGCTGGCCTGCCTAAAACATTTGCAAAGAAGTTAGAAGATTTAACAAAAGAGAAAGCATATCCAGCCCGGCCGGCTTCCATTGGGGCGCCCTTTAATTCAATGGAGCCGCCAGCAGTTGGGTTATTTGCGTGATCCACGTAGAAGCATGTTTAAAGCATACTTTTTTTTTGTGGTTCTGTTATGTTGATCTTGTTTTTGTTCTTTGATGTTTTTCTGTAGGCGTTGGGCGGGCGGCAGTCTGGTGTTGGAGGGTTGATTGTCGATTTGTTTATAAGGAGGCCAGGCAGCCCTTATATCGTCAATTACTGACTTGAGCTACCTGGCCTTTAATGAGATGTTTTGTGGGAAGGCCAGGCAGCCCTTATTTTCGTCAAGCAGTGACTTGAGCTACCTGGCCTTCCATAAAAGTCGATTCAATAGAAGTACAGGGGAGGAGCATCGGACATTTCGATGTCTTGAGGCTCCTCCCCTGTACCTGTGGCGAATTGGGGTGCGGCCTATCATCTGTCAGTGATACATGTCCAAGACAGAAAGTAGAAAGGGGATACTAACAATGGCGAGTGCCGCAAATTGTTCTTCAACGGGGTGGGACGTGGTGAATACGTCGAGCATCACCATGTGCTCCACTTCAGTTGGTGGGGCCGTGGTGAAGACATCGACCATCACCACGTCCCTTTGAGGAGAGGGGTGACGAACGGAGATGCCCGGCTGCCTCACCGGCCGCCTGTTAAGCGCGGGCGCGTCGCGCATGATGGTGTCGCCATCCCGGGACAGCCGTGGTTGAGGGCCACGGCGTTGACCCGGGTGTCTAGGCGCATTGTTTGCACCACCATGCCGGGGCCCCCTCCGTTGGGGACCGAGACCCCGTCGACTTCTCCGAGGGGTGAATTTTTGTTTTTGCCCTGGCCCTTGTGGCTGGCGGGGCCCCTGCTTCTGGATTCTGTTATTATTTCCATTAGCAGGGAAGTTCTTACCACCGCGGTAGCCAGAGGGACCCGAGGCGGGTGAGGGCCAAGACCTTTGATTGATCTATATACCATCGTTAGCTCCATGATCAAGGTCATCCATCATCAGAGGGGCATCAACTTACCTTGGACACCTCGTTGGGTCTCCTGCCTCTAGGCCGGTTGCCAGATCCAGTATCTTGTGGCCTCCTGCCTTTGCGATGATTGACGCCGGCAGTTTGTACGAGGCCGTGACCCAGGTGGGATACGACGGGTCCTTCTCCGAAGAAAGCCATTTTATTGCTCACTCGGGGGGGAATGGAATGACTAACAAATTCTAACAGGTGAAGAGCAGTTGATTCGAGCGGAGGAGCAGGTGAATAACACTTTTAGGAGGGTTGGGATGTCACTGCTAGTCTTGCCCGCACTTATTCTCAAGAACGGATCCCTTTCTTTCCTTCGTGAGGAAAAAAGGTTAAAAAAAAGTACCTTTTAGCGTAATTCAAGATTTATTTGAGGTGCGGTGTGGACATGAGTTTTTGTTTATGAGGATATTTGAAAGCAACGCTCCGATTTGGGTGTCGGTTACAAGGTTCTAGTTCAGTGGGTTCTTATACTGTGTCGAGGTTATTATGGATGTTAGACTCGACTGGACTCTTCGACGCTCGTTTCTTGTGCTTGTTCAGGTGGTAGACAAATGTTATCAGACGAATCAAGTGGGGTTATTTTTGTGGATAGTAGATCGTAGCTATGGCAGCAATAGAGTCAAGAAAGACGAAGAAAGGAAAGTCTTTGGCAGGGGGGAGAAATCCAGCATTAAGTATGAGGGCACCTACGGACGTCACTCTTGCTCACTCAAGCATGTTTGGTTCTTGTGGACGACAGTGGGAGGTAATGGTGCTACCTAAAAAGATACGACTCCAAGTATAGACTTTCAAAAAAGGCAATCTGGGGTAATCCGGAGAAGCTGGGGTAATTCCCCGGTATCCACGGAACGAACCGTAGGGCTGATCTCATTTAACCTTTACATTGTGAGCCTCATGGAAAATATGCGCAATCGGCTTATAGCACTATCCATCCTCATAGATATTCCTCAGACTGCAAGAAAGAAAAAAGAGGCACGTATTGGCAGAGTGCCTTTGCTTTTGTATTGAAACTGATGATGTTTCAGAAGATAGGAGGAGTCCCCGACTTGCGCTTCTGACGCTTTGTTCTTCGTTTTTCTTCCAAAGAAGCGACGTCAGACCCCTGTTCAGAGTCTACCGGCTTCAGGATTTTCTTCTTCCGGCCGGTATCCCACGGTACGTCAATAGTACCGTCCTGAAAACTCTCTGTTTTGGTCCTTTTCTTCGGTTTGGAAATACCACCGGGAGAAGACGTGCTGCCTGTGGATGCCATACTGTCCCGTTTCCTCTTGTCAGGCTTAGAGCTCCTTTTTCGTCTCTGTTCTTCTTTGATTTCCAGTCGACGTTGAACTTCTTCGGAGATGTCCTCTGTTTCCAGAGCCACCGGCGTCACATTCCTCACATCTTCGTCCCCACCCGGCATCATCATATCCAGTCGCTTGCGCTTCTGATACTGCACTGCTCCGACAGGCATGGTATCTGTGCTTTCGTTTTCCACCTCCATACTGTCCGATTCCACCCGGGAGCGTTTCCTCCGTTCTTTTGAACGACTGCGTTGTCGTTTCGACGAATCACGGCTAGATGACGTAGACGCGGTCCGGTAATCATTAGCTGTAGCAGTTGATTTGTCTGATGATTCTCCAACATTTCCTGGTTCTGTCACAAGGTTACCTTGGTGAAGCGGTAACAGTCATTGTTCATATTACAATACGTACTCGAAATCTGCCGGCTATCTATTAGCATCATACATAGTCATGACTCAAAAAGAAAAGACAATCTTCACACGAGAACGCTGTTCACTCCCCCAAAAGAAATGAAAAAGAAAAAAAAAAAAATGACCAACCAATTGTTTCTTCACCACCCGAAACTGCGTCATCAACCTACTCGTCTTCTCGATCATCCCCGACACCATTTGCAACGCGTCACCACTAGGCACATTATTTCGAACCACATTCAACATTTCCATATGTGACGACAGAACGGATTCATGCTGGGCGCAGATCTGCAACGAAATTCACTCCTTAGCGATCAGGCTCGACAAGATGGATATCGTGCGTCATTCACGCGGGGAGATCTTCGCGCACCTCCGGCCATGATATTCGACTGCGCGGAGCTGTGGTTTCGGTAGTATGGGACTCTGTATGGATTTCTTCGTCCTCCTCCTCGACGGTAGGGTTTAGTGAGGGGCGATCGGCGTTTTGCGACATTGTGATGTGAGACCGCGCGACATTGGGGTTAAATTTAAGATGGGAAATTCTGTGGCGCGTTTGATCGGCGCGTGGTTTTTGAGTTTCTCCGCGCCAAGAATAAGCTTCTGCACAAGCTTCAGGTACGAGGGGGCGCAGGGGCCAATCATCGGGGTGGGATTTGTTCATTCCCTTCGAGATTAATTACTGGGATTCCTTATGGTACATCAATATAGAACTACATGTCCACATATCTGGCATATCCTCTATTGGACGTACTACACTGAGATACTCCTAGGTTTGACTATCCTAAGTACACCGCCTGGGAAATATTAATAATGTTGTATAGCACATTCAGCCAAATATATATCGATGCGACTCCTCCTAGACGACGACTGTATATTATAAATGCAGGAAGCATTCCAGGCGGATTAAGTATATTCACTTGCACGCTTTTCTAACATTCTTTTACTAACAAATGCACAGGTGGCTGTGTGATTTTCAAGCGAATGACGTCTGATACTAGAAGCGCCATTATCTTGATTACCAAATTATACCCTACTAATATAAGGGAAGACGATAGTGGCGTGCGAGTACCATCTTCGTGATAATAGGGTTTGATCGACTGTTAACCCATACGGAAATTATCCGGACGCTCTCACTTCGCAACCTCAACAATCAACTTCGTACAACTCACGCCCCGAACCAGCTTGTCCAAACCAGCATTGATAGCCCCCAAACCCTTTCCCACAACGCTCGGCTCCGGACTCGGTCGGATAGTCCCCATGACCAGATTATCCCTCAGCCAAGTCCCAAGCCAATATCGGAACTGCTCCAGCCTCTCCCCTTCCACCATCGACGGCATCACAAATATCGTCTCTACCCCGTCCACGACCTCCGCATCCGGAGGAACAATGGGTGCTGACGCGACCTTTGCTGAGATCGTCTCTGTCCCTTCATGTCCTTTACCAACGAATGTCTTAAGTACAGCCTGACATGGCGCCAGCTGTCCGGTGGCCAGAAAACAATACCGGATCACCAACCCGTCCTCCTTGGCTGCCGAAACAATTGCATCAACAACATGTGGGTCTTTGTAGTCGAACACGCGGTCCCCACCCAGCGAACTCACATAACCCTTATTTGCGGATCCGGCTGTGGCGTACACGGCTGCGAAAGAAGAGCTGGGGTCATCCCGAAGCAGCCGGGCTGTTTGTACGCCCATGGTACCGACGCTAGAGGAGGCACCCCAAATTAGGAGCGCTTCTTGTTTTCCCCGGGTATTCTTTGCTGTGACATCTCCCATCCGGGGGATTCCCATGGCATCCCACGCGCTGAGGGGTACCTGGACGGCGACGGGCAAGGTTGCCGCGGAGTTCCAAGAGATGTCCTCGTCCGGAAGGGGCACAGCATGCTGCCAGGGGACGAGACACCGCTCCTGAAATGGGCCGTAGTCTGGATCGCAAGACTTCCAGACCGAAGCGGCGTAGGCGGCGACGCGGGTGATGCCTGGTCGGAAGGAAGTAGCCGGGACGTTGTTGCCGATCTCAAGGACTAACCCCGACATGTCGAAGCCAATGACCGTTGGGTATGTGGATATGAAAAGGCCTTGGCCACGCATGATGGCGTCTGCAGGGTTGAGGGCTACAGACTTGACGGCGATGAGGAGCTCGTCTGGTCCTGGTTTTGGGGTAGGTCTGGTTTGGAGTACAAAAGGTTGGCCTTTGGCCTGGGAGACGGCGGCGAGGTGGGTAGCCATTTGGAGGGTTTGTGTAAGTAGAGGTTTTCAAGTCAAGGTTTTATGATTTTGAGGGAGGATATTGGGGATCAACTATCCTTTTATACCATTAAGCCATCATTTCAAACTACTTCCTCTGATAACATTCTCAGTTGATTATGTTGATTATAGATGCTTACAGCCAATCACAGGCCTCTGCATCCGAGGGGGAGTTAGCGTGGTTCCGAAAGAAGGTTAGCGTATGGGTGCCTGTGACGATGCTGAAACCTAATGTCCTTGCACTGACTCCATTAAACTCCTCTCAGAATTATGAATATTAACGAAATATGGAGGTTCCCGACCGGAGGACTCGGCAGAGGTCGAGATTTGGCTGCCGCAATTGTAAGCTAAGAAAGCTCAAGGTGGGTGCCTCTTTCTAGACTGTCCGTGCTTGGCTGAACGAATTCCTTGGACACTTAGTGCGACGAAAGCAAACCACATTGCAAGAGATGTAGTTCGTTCGGGGTATTATGCAACTTCATGTCGAGCATCCCGGATCTACAACCTATCGCCGCAGATACAGGGAGTCCATTGGTGGTTCATAAAAAGGCAACCATTCAACCCCCTATCGCCAGTGCTGTCTGGACGTCTGACGCATTCACATCCTATCATTTGAACGCCAAGTGTCAGGATTTCATCACCCGGTATTATGGACGAAGTATCACTATCCCAGATGACCCTAATATAATACACGTTAATCGCAAGCTGCTAAAACTAGCCTTCACCGTAGGTGTTATTTCACTGATCCTGTCACTGTGAGACAGAATTGAGCTCCGCTAACATATTGATTACAGTACCCTTTTCTAATGCACGCCTCTCTCGCTGTGGCACTTACCTATGACCGCCATCTGAATAGTTCATTAGGATGTCGTCGCAGTCTAGAAGAGTGCTATCACTGGTCTCAAAGCACAGTTCTTCTCAACAGGCGGTTAAGGGAACCGATTAACGCGAAGGATAAGGATGCAATCTGGGGCACTGCAGCCGCTCTGACAATCTTATCCTTCTCATCCCCTGATGCACGCACATCGGAAGAACCATGGCCTTTAAAGTCCTCTAACCAGTCCGATTTAGACTGGGTACGTATGAGCCAGGCCAAAATGTCACTGTGGCACATAGTCAACCCGCTACGACCGGACAGTCTTTTCCGTGTAATGGCGGCGACCTTTGCTCAGATGCAATCGCCCTTGCCAGAGAAGGGCATAGATGGTATACCAACAGCGTTGGCTGCCATATGTCGTCTTAAGGATTCATCTACGGCGAACAATAACCCGTATTTCGATATCGCTCACGCAGTATCCCAGATCCTGGACACCCCGGATAGCGAGGTCACAACAGGTCAAACTCAACTCTTCATGCGTAGTATTCATGGCCCTTTCGAAGACTTGCTCCGGAACAAAGATCCTGTAGCACTTTTGTTGCTGTATCTGTGGTACCGCAAAACAAGTCGCAGTATATGGTGGATTGAACTTAGGGCCAGAGTGGAATGTCCTTCTATTTGCTCGTACCTACGGTTATATCACAAACAGAATATTGCAATACAGGCATTACTTCCAGGTGGTGCACTCACCGATAGTTGGGTTTAGTTAGGATTTGCTCCAATATCACTACGTACCTCACTCTGTACGATGTGACTATGGCTTCGCGGATTTCTCGGCGCGTAAATTCCGCCCTTTCAATAGAGCGATGAGCTTAGTGCGCTATATCATGTCGCAGGATCTCTGGCCTCAGCTATTAATATTGGCTATCACAGTTGATCGGGGAATACATGGGTAATCCGCGGACTTTTTGTCGGAGGCCCGACCTCAAATGGGGGCATGTTCCCCGCCTATCTTTAACCTGAAGTCGATCACGGCCTTTGACCCCACTCTGAAATCTAACTAGGAAGACGCAGCCATTCCGTATGACAATCTTAATGTATGGGTGGCTCGATGGTGATTGTTGGTTATTACAACTGAACTCTTTCCTAAAGGTATGCTGGGGACTGAACTTCATTGTACCGCATTAGTCTAAACAACTCTCTCCTTTGGCCACAATTATATGACATAGTGTAGACTGCCGCCCTGTCAGTGATTTCAAAAGATATTATCAGGAACTCACAGTTTTACCATGCATTCTCACCGTTCGAGAGAAACCGCCGCAGACTACTCTGTCCCTACAGAGACAAGGACCTCAACTGGGGTAAATGGAATTGCTTCCTTGACCTTCGGTAGGAAGAAGACAGAGAGAAACTAGGAGGACTACTCTCCGACGCTGATTTTGTGGTTTCGGGATATCGCCCAGAGGTCCTTGACAAATGGGGCTTCTCCCACGATGACATCCTGAACATCACCAAATGACGCAAGCGCGGCCTCATCTATGCGCGTTTAAATTGCTACGGATGGTACGGCCCAGGATCTCATGGAATCGGTTGGCAGCAAATCAGCGATGTCAATTGCGGTGTCTCCTTGGAGTTTGGTCGAGCGATGGGACTCGACGAAGCCGTTACTCCGGTTTTCCCGAACTCTGACTACTGGACTGGAGTCTGCGGCTCAGTCGGTATTCTGGACGCTTTGGTGAGGCGAGCTGAAAAAGGTGGTTCATATACCGTCCAAGTTGCACTGAGCTACTACTCTCAATGGCCAGTCAAGTCTGTCGGCGTCTACCCCAAAGGTGTGTGGGAAAATGTCTGGTTCCTTAATGGTCGCAAAGTTTTCCGTCATTTCCAAACCATGAGTAGCTTGATTCCAGCTTATGTCGACATGCTCAAGTCAAACAGTACAGGTCGCGTGTTCCGTGCAAGCAACTTCCAATCTCTACATAGTAAACACGTGGGAGTGGATATTAAATCTCCTAAGCCCGTGCTTCAGTTCCCGGCAAAGGAGGTGAACTTGAGATACAATGTCGGCACTCGAACCAATGGAGTGGATCAGCCTAAATGGTCCGAAGATCTCAGTGTCGAGATGGTAGCTTAGTTCTCCTCTTCTCTAACCCGTTACTAATTTAACAATTCCCAGATACCTCCACTGTATTTCGCACGCGGACTATTTAAACAGATCTTTGCCCTAAGTAGAGTAGTAACTACCAGACGAGTTATCTGTAATTTCTATCTTGAGATCTCTCGAAGCACTACAAGGTAAATCACATCAACGTGTCATGTGAGTTGGAAGCGATTTACTTATACAGCCAGTTATATGGCTGGTTAGTTTTCCTAAATTCATATCCATCGGCCTCTCCCCTCTTTGGAGGATAGGTTCTCGAGAATACCACTGCACTGTGACCTGTCTTTGCCATTTCAATGCATGCTGTTCACTGTCATCTGTCTGGAAACGAGTCCTTGCTAATGGGTGATGGGGTCTTGCGGCACTGCATACATTGTAGCATCAATCCGCTGGGCTTTGAGCCCTGCAGTCAGCCTTCGTTGGGAGTGTGGAACACAGATGTATACTAGATTGCGGGGGGCTTCCAAGATCCATTCTAGGATTACGCGGGCCATGCAAGCCGTAGTGAATTGGTACTGCACTGATTTGACAAAACATAGTTAGCGCGCAGCTCAGCCCAGCTGGTTAATGACTGAGAATCGATTGGCGGGGTATATTATCCGACGTAAACCCGACCAAGGTCAAGCATGTTGTGGCTATGGCTATGCGAATATCCTTTGCGGTGGTGCTATCATTAGTGAACGAGGGAAATCTAAGAGTGCCTCTATAGTCAATTCGTAGGATATCTAGTTAGGCCATATCCAAGAAGGGGGGATAATACCGTACGTAGGCAAGCCCTACATCTAAGTCATGGAGGGCGAAGCGGGGTAGCGTTTACTCTTTTCTTTCTTGTTTTGTCTTTCCTCCTTTGTCCGTTTGGCCTGAACCTGGAAGTGAAAATTTACTCGTAGCTAACACAATCTAGGGCATGTATACAGGCATAGGTGTCTCACAGTCCTGTTGTATGTATATGAGTAGATCGAACTTGACATCCTTGAATAAAGACTGGAGCGGAGTTCACAACCCTGTTCGGCCGGGGGGTATCTAACAACACATTTCCAGCCTTGCGAAGAATGGAAAGACGAGGCTGAGCCCCAGAGCAGCCTTCCGTTTGTTTTCCTTACTTTTCTTTTCTTTTTTTTCCCATTTAAGCCTAATCTCCCATCCTCATTGCTGTGGGAATCTATTAGACAAATTAATATTTCACTTACCTGTTTCTTCCTCTAAACTTTGATCTTTAACATTGGAGCCATACATAATATCAATACGTTGGCAAAAAAGGCATGGCTGACCCACTTTCCTTAGTCGCGTTGGGCTATACAGTTGTAAAGGATCTCTGCAAGCTTGCCAGAGGGATGAAAAAGGCTTGTAAAGAGATCCATCATGCTAAAGTAGATCTCGAAAGAGTGATCGAACGAACAAAGACAGTGGCCGAGACATACAGATTCTTTCTGGACACAATCAAAGAAGCGAGAAAGATTCAAGGACTGCGTGGAATGTTCAACAAGTATGATAGCCTGATTAACCGAGTCGATGGGGAGTCCAGCGCAACCGTTCAAAAGCTTCAGAACGTGAGGAGTATTTTCGCACCTCTCGGACAGAAAGGCCCTATCCATCCCACTGAGAAATGGATGGCACAAATCAGATGGTATAGAAAGGGCAACAAGACCGTTATTCCTCTGTTCCAGGACATGAAAGTCTTGGAGCAATCGATGAGAACAATCGGGATCTTGGTGCAAATCCACATGCTCAAACAACTACATTTTAACGATCGATCAAACGCAATCCTGGCACAGACGTAAGTTAGAACCAATCAAACTTCGTGTGTCCCACTAACTATCGTCTATAGGAAATGGCTCGAGCAAATGCTCGGTATTGAAACTGACAAGCTGCGGCGCGCTCAAAGGTCACAGGAAAAGTTACTGACACAGCATATCGTCGTCCCAAGGCATGATATTGAGCCAAATGACTTTGCTCAAGCTATACTCAAATTGCTGGAAAAAGAGATTCCTCGTCTGTTTATGTATAAACCTCCAGGTAGCCCACCAACTTCTGATGCACGATCCCCATCAAACTCACCAAACGCTCATCAACTCTCTCCAACCACACCACCCTCGCCGCCTCCTCGTCCAAATGGAGGAAATAGAGGATCAGCAGTGAGACAACAGTCCAAGGAGATGTTGCCACACTCGCCCGAGGGCCCTCGGCGAAGAGTACGCCAAGCAAGATATCCTGTAAGCGACGCGCCCCTTCCAAGCCTTGCTGCGTATATTGATGCAATCTTTCAGCCACTATCGACCACACAAAGTCTTGAAGAAGTAGAAGTTGACGTCCGGGAGGAGGGGCCGGATGACAACCATAGCAAAGAGCAAACCGGCCCATACATGCCAATGCCACCCTTTGGCCTACCAACATTAGCTCCTCGCCCACGGGCTGGACGAACATTGGATAGCAGCGACGACCTTATACAACCAGAATCACGTCCACCACGCACTGCAAGCCGAAGATCCCTGCAAAGAAACGGGGGTCCTTCTTCGTCGCGGGCGAAGCCACAGAATGGCAGCATCATATCGGTATATGGTAATGATGGAGAGGTCACACCCACTCATCTAACGGGAGGCCTTGGGCTCCAATCAGGGTACGAAAGAAAGAAAAGACATGATCGGGGATCGAACAAAACGCCATAAGTGCGTCTTGAAATTGGTTAGTTCTCTTTTGCTCTCAGTATAATTCAGTCTTGTGTGACTTTATAAGTCTGATGTAAATAAATTCACCATGCGTCCGCAATAAATGAGATGCTGTTATATTTTACCAGAGGTTAAACGGCTACCACCATTAGGATTTCAGCTACGATATGCACCGCTGGCTTTTGGATATTGATACCACTATATCAATGCAACGCCCAGCAGCAATGTCACAACATCTCGAGGCGGGCCCAACGGCCGAGCAACACAAAATTGACTTAATGGCCACTGCTATTGGGAATGGTTTTCGGCACGTCCATGTTGCAACTAAGGATTTGTTCGAGACTTTTCGTTTTTGGTCTAGGGCCCATTGGGTTTACCGGCTATTTGCACGGCCTATCGCACACACCACAAAGGGACACCATGGCCCGCGTTACTTTACTTTGAAGACTCTTCAATTGCAGAAGCTCTAGTAAAACAATATAACAGCACTAGGCAGGAAGTCCCACGGACAAAAAGAAGACCCCGACCGAGACGAGACTCGAACTCGCAAACCTTTGGTACCGGAAACCAACGCGCTACCATTGCGCCACTCGGCCGATTGGTGCGAGGTTCAAGATAGAATTCGAATCCCGTGAAAAGCATGTCTTCAAGCGCGGACCCTCTACCCACTGTTAAAGAGGCCTAGATCACTTTATCTCAAAGTTGGAATGCCGTGTGCTCCTTACACTAACTAAATCCTGGGCCCCCTCAGATCTAACAGTCATGTTAGAGATAAAACTATGACCAAAGCAGTATGGAAGCATGCCCTTAAGGAATTAAGTGAAGTCTGTACCTCATTCCAGTGGGCCATTGATAGTAAGGTGCAACACTGCCCCCTCAAGAAGTTAATACATCCTAGGGCTAGTATTCATTAGACTGATCCACTTCGTATGACGACGGCTAGGGCATACGGATGCGAAACATAGCTCTGACCTGCGGCGGATGGTATACTACACTCTTGGCAGGCGACTTTAGGCGTACCGTCCTGCAGATCTCCTATCAACATATTTAACTCTTGGTCTTTTAGGTGCACTCCTAGGAATATCTAGTGCCAAGAACCAGGCAAGCCAGATTTGAAAAGCTAAGCCGACTCTAACAACCCCGACAGGGTAGCGTAGTGAAATTGATTATGGAATATAAAAGGAGGCGAATATTCCCTTATACTCCACTTCCACTATGGAAGCTCTTCTGCCACAATCCATATACTACAAGCTAAAGCCATTCTTCTCTATTGGTCTTCCTCCCACCAACACAATGATCCGCACCAGCATCATTAAAGCCTTTTCTCTGAGTGGTATCCTGTTTGCCGCCACCGGAGACTGTGGCCAGATCCTTAACGCTGTCTGGTCTTCTTCAACTTTCTCGACCATCGGTGGTCGCGGCGGCAATCACCACGGCTACTCGGATGGGTTTGCCCTGTTTAAGGAGGATGGCGGACAGGTTTTCTCCGATCCAACTCCCGGCGGCGGTACTCCATGCACATGGGCCCCTGGCACGACCTTCTACCTCACCGGCGGATGTTTTCCTGAGGGGGTCCAGTTCAGTTTTAACTGCGTGGCCGATTTCGCGGGAATGCCAGAAAGCTGCGCGGTCTTGGATGTGTATGGTAATGAACTCTCCAGCGCAGATGGCAATTCAAACTTCAACTTTATTGGTATTTCTATCTCTCAGGATGGATACTGTGGTACCTCTTGGGAACTGCCCGAGGGCGCGGACTGTCAGCCAGGCGTCACTGGAATCAAGGCTACTCTAAACCCTCAACCCGTGAGGGGGGATCCTGCCGAGTATGATCCTATTGGGGGAATACCCCGGGAGGAACGAAGCTATGCTACGGAAACAGAGGGAAAGATGGCCCAACCCTAAGCAGGAAAGCGAAGTTGAAATGGAACCTGTAGTCCTCAGTGACAACTGGACAAAAGTACCGAATTGGGGAATTCTGGTACGGTACTGTTGATCTTTTGCAAAGCTTTTGCCATCATGTATATACTATCAACTATTGGTACCACAATTAGATCAAAACTATGAGTGCCAGATCAAGAATGGATTACAAGAGTTCCCTGATATTTCCTGTAATAATATTTGAAAGACGTAACGTAACAGACGTGCGTCGCTGGCGAACCAAGGTGTGTTTGACTAGGTCGGTGTCACGGAGATGTCATGGCTGATAGCATTATAAATTAAGACTTAGATAGAAACATGAAAAGCTTTATGAATAGATTTAATTAGATCTATATTGTGATGAATTGGGAATCAGTCTGGTACTCTTATATATCAAGCCTGTCAACTAATATTATCGCTATATCGGAGGCCCAATAAATGTATCGGACTTGGAGAGCTTCTAGTACAATCCCTCCCCATTTGCTTCATTATCTGGCTGTTTCAGGTATAGGTTATATGGGTGTCTCGGCGCGCCACCATGGTCCACTTAAATGAGAATTTCCTGGTGGGGGCGATTTGAAGTTGTTGATTATATCAACGCGCTACGTGTAGTGCCAAGATGTTGCAATTTAACAGTGTGGACCCACTATTGTCAAGTTCACAATAACTGAGCGAGAGCAAGTCCAAGGCCAGGTAGATTGATCACTGTCATTGTGTCGGATTGTAGGCTCGGGTTGCATGAACTCCACTTCCCGACAGCCCTCTTTATAGGTAATTGATCGAGTAAACAGTAGACTCCTTCATTCTTCAGATAGGGCGTTGACCCCCACACCAACCATCAACAACTCTGCTTGTAATATGATTGGTGGGCACTGTGCATATACGAGGTCAATCATTTACCAAACAGGCGATCTCTGATGGCCAGCCACAATCACAGCCTTGTCTGCCAAGAGAGGCTCAAAACCATGAAAGCCTTGTCCCGCACCTCTACTTCTCGCGGTAATCTATTCAGTAATTCTCTAGGCTTTACGGATAGGAGCTGCTATGCCCTCGAGGAAGAAGATCAGCCTATGGGCATGGGCTCGGTCCTTAGCTTCAACCCCACGCTACCATGGCGCGACAGGTGACGACCCAGACAAGGAAGAGCAATCGATTGTGTTCGCTTCAAAGGTCACAACTAGAGAAACAGGTACCATAAACGACCCAACACTTGCTACGCCTTTCCTGGAGGAAGCGGCAACTGGCAGCGACAGCAACAGCTCAGCGAATGCGGCCGAGAACAGCAGTTCTCAGAACCACCGACCCACTTGGATCAAAGGCGTATACCTTTGTGCAAATGCAACTGCCGGTCTACTGCTACTGAATACCGTACTCATTTCCGTAGCAGGCGGACTGGCATCGAAGTACACAGGCTCTGGAGGATCGTCCAACTCCAAAGTGGTCTACGAAGGCAGCTGCGTCATAACAAGTCGATGGAACACGGCATTCCATTTTATCATCAACGTGATTAGCACCTGCATTCTGGCGGCAAGCAATTACTGCATGCAAACGCTTGTCGCGCCAACCAGAGACGAAATTGATTTGTTCCATGCAAAGCGTCGCTGGCTGGAGATTGGCGGTTCTAGCTTCAGAAATCTATTTGCCATACCGCTTAGTCGTCTTGGGCTCTGGTTGATTCTACTCCTCACTGCTACACCGTTCCATTTACTGTACAACTCTGTCATTTTCGAAAGTCTGTCGTATAATGAGTATTGGTCGTTTGTTGCACCATCCGATTTCGATGCTCAAAATATACAGAACCTGACGACTCCCGCGTTGGAGAATTGCTTTCGAGCTGATATCTCTTCCGGACCAAACGATATCAACAGCGGTAAAAGCATGGATTGGGATCAAATAGTACAAATCACTATGGGAGAAAGGAGCGAGAAAATTTCCCCTGAGCAATGTGCCGAATATACCGATGAAGAGTCTTATTATCCATCGGGGTACAAGGGCCTTATTTACCTTGCGAGTGAGTTGGCTATGAAAGATGGAGGAGATATCGCTGTACTTCGGTCTACTGGCACCTCTCGGACTCAGTCAGTTTATACTGCACCGTTTACCAATCCGAACCTCCCAACTACCAAATTTGATGAATGCGCCGACCCTATTAGTTCTTCTACGATTTATCGTTTCAGCGGGTGTTTGGCGTTTGAGGGCAAGAAAAATTGCCAACTACTTCTCAACCCCCCCATTGCTGTGATTATTTCATTAGCTACGCTGATGAAGGTAGTTGCAATGTTTCTTGCAGCTCATCTTCAACGGACTCGAGCCCCTCCTCTTCTTACAACAGGCGACGCAGTTGCGTCGTTCCTAGAAAGGCCTGATGACACAACGAAAGGGATGTGCTGGGCGTCTCGACGTTGCATGAAGAAGGGTAACTGGAGACCCTCTTCCGTACTGTCGACAGGCCAACCACCGACCAGAGAATATAGACACCTATCACCGCCCAGGCAATGGAGAAAGGCATCTAGCCCTTCTTATTGGGCAGTCACGTCGATAATGTGAGTGTTCAGAAACTCCAGATGTAAAAGATTAGCTAATCATGAAAACTAACCTGGCCTAGCTTTGTTATAGGTATAGGAATGGGCGTTGGTATGCCGGCCGTCAGATTACCTGACGCCGTTCGCAACCCTCAAGGTCTCTGGAATTGGGAAAGCAACGTGAAAAGTACCGCGACTTTTGCGTATGGTAACTATTCGGAGATGGAGGGCGTGGTGATAGCAAACAGTGCGCAATTAATAGTCACGGTCGGCTACTATTTCTATAATAGCGTGCTTACCAGCATGCTAGCATCGGCTGAGTACAGTTCCTATGGGACAGACCGGAAGGCACTTCGAGTTACTTGGCCTGCCAAAGGCAGCCAGCAGCGCTCGACCTACTGGCTGAGCGTTCCCTATAAATTCGGCATCCCAGTCATAATCCTCTTCATGGCCAACCACTGGTTCGTTTCCCAGGGCTTCTACTACGTCTTAATGATCCCGTATGGCACGGATGATCAGCCCCTATATGGAAACAAGGTCAGCTCGGTCGGGGCCTCAGCCCTACCCGTGTTCATTGCTGGCTTAGTTGGCTTTTTCCTGTTTCTATTCCTGCTGTGTTTGGCATTTCGCAGGCTTAAGTCAATTATACCACTAGCGGGCTCTTGTAGTGCTGCTATCAGTGCCGCCTGCCATCCGCCTGAGGACGTTTGTACTGCCACTGCAGCCCACGGGGAGTTGTTCTGGGGGGAGACTAGCCTACCATCAGATTGGGCTAACGATGAGAGTGACGGATGTGATTTTCCAAGAGGGCATTGCAGCTTTACTCCACTAGATGCACGGTTGCCTTCCTTGGACAAGTTGTATGCTTAGATTTGATATTTCTTTTCTAGCTACTGTAGTGCGGTGACCCCTCCTCACCACATGTCTATGTTGTTATTATCCCTAGTAGCTAGACTAAAATCAAGGAATGATGCCTTGTTTCTTCAAATTAGGACAGAATCTACTATTCATGGACTCCAAAGTAGAGAGCCTCTTCATCTAAAACCTCAAATTATGAGCCCTGCCTGTCCTCCAAATCCTGTGATTGTAGGTACCAGTTTCCTAGTTGCAGAGAGTTACATAGGGTTCCCCGAAAAGCCGTCAGCAAAGGGTGCTCCCGTTTTCAGATCTACCCAGTGAGCAAAAAGCGACCAGTGGGCACTAAAATAGAAAGAGAATGTCTGTAGCCTGTCTAAAGAATAGAAGCACGGTATATGTGTAAATATGTTCGAATAATGTCATTATTTGGTATCTAGACACAGTCCTCCAGTCCGGATCTGTCCCATCGTTATCCATGCTAGTTTCCCAAGACGCCATAAAAAAAACAATCGACCCCGACGAATAAACAAAGGAGTCTGAATACTTGTACAAGCTGCGCTAACCATACCCAGAAATATGAAGTTTACCATGCACCGGCATCGAAATCAAACCGAGAGAGCTCCTTCTGTGCATCTTCCACGTCCTTCTTTGCTTTCATGCGCATATAGAAAATCGGACAATCCCTGGACGAGCAGATGACTTCGCAGTGCAAACTGCCCTGGCAGCGCTGGCATTGGGTCCACAGCCGCCCAAACCGGACCTCGAGATCTGACACTTTCGTCAACGATCTCGTATACAGCTCGCCAAGCCGTGGCTGACAGTTCTCGCAGACAGCACCGGCCAATTCAGCCTTGCCCGAAAGGGGCTTCTTGCAACCCATGCAGGTCGCGGTTTTCTTGGCAAACTTCATAAGCCCACCCATAGTCGGTGCGGCTACTGAGATGGACCGCGTATGCTCGCCGGTAAGAAGCTGACCGGCCTTCTTCTCTCCAAGAATGGGCTCGAAGATACGACCGAGTGGGTTTGCCAGTTGATTGTCTAGGTAATACTTCGTATCGATAGGGATGTTGTTCTCAAGAACATAGATAGGGTCCTCCGACTTCTCGTAGTTCTTTGAGCCACCAGCACCCTTGACAATAACGTATGCAACACGGTCGCCAAGGGTAGGGGCAGAACCTGCATCACGCTTTTTCATGCGCTCAGCAAGTTCTACGTGCGCCTGTTTGGCTGCATAGTCGTGCTTAGCAAGGGCCTTGGTGATCACAAGCTTCGACATATCGACCTTGTTTTGTAAGAGGTCAGAAATTGTTTCCTTGACATACCTAGAGTCACGTCAGTTGTTATGCTATGGTAACGCTAAAAACTAAAAACGTCAAGTGTGGATGGAAACTTACTCTTGGGCACCATCAACATCTCTGTCAATCAAGATCTTGTGCAGCACCGTCTCAATAACATTTTGCACCAGTAAACAGTTGTCACGACGAACAGTCTCAATACCCTTGGTGTCCATCTTATCATATTTCTCGGTTTTCGTCCAGTACAGGCCAGCGTATCTTTTCTTGTTGATGAGGAGATACGGGAAGTACACCTTTTCGAACTCAAGCTTGATTGGCTTCAGGAATTTCGAGGAGACGTATTCCGAAGCCTCCTGTCCAAGCTTCATAGCGTCCGCTAGCTCCGTGACGCCAAATTTGACCATGACGGAGTCGGTATCACCATAAATAACTTTTGCATCATGAGAATAGCCATTCGCAATGGTGTATCGTGCTTCCACTTCCTGCTTTGTTTTTTCGATCATTTGACGCCCGTAACTAGTGGTGCTACTTGCAATAGGCAAACATGGCAATTTTCCAACCGTTGCACCCGTAAGACCGTAAACACTGTTGGCGCTGATCTTAAGCGCAAGCTGTCTTCCGTTCAAAACAGCCTTCTTGAATGGATCTGTTTCAATCGCCAGCTCTTTCTTCGCTCGCTTTCTCGCTGCAAGCAGTTCTTCTAAAATTTGGGATAAAAGACCCTTGCGGACATTGGCTGTGCAGAACAAGTCTCCATTAGGCGTCACAATGTAGTCTTCATCCTTTTTTAAATTGTACCTTTCAACGGCCTTCTTGTTCAGTAAAGTTGTGTAACATAGATTATGGGCTTGGATGATGGAGGGATATAGGGAGGCAAAATCCAGAGTTGCAATTGGAACATCGTAGTAACCTCGAACTGGTTCGATGACAGTAGCACCTTCGTATTCCTGTTCACTTTCCGGGGTGTTGTTTGGGATGACCAGTTGTTGTTCCAGAGCCTTTCGGAATAACTGACTCATGAATTTGACTTGTTGGCCGCGCGATAAGAGGAAATTGAACGGAACACCCGTTACTCTTGCCATCTCTGTATAATTAACGAGGCACATGAGCTTATCCATTAATCTCTGAGGTAGATACGCATCCTTGAGACAGTACACGGCGAGACGTCGCCTTGAGTCGGGTGTTCCGTTATGCAACTCAGTGATCATTGTGTGGTGAACATCCTCCTTCTGTTCACCCAGAAACTCGTAGGACACCGAATTCAGTGTGTAACTTCTCAGGTGGTAATCTCTTTGGACTAATTGTAAAAGGTCCAGTTGGATTCTTCCGTTTGTATTGGTCGCCTTTGTATCCCGGTTGCCCATCTGTTTGCTAGAGAAGTTCGTTGCACTAGCTTGAGACATCACGCCGTTCAACCTAGTCCAGTATGGAAATCCAGTACACTTCAAGTGTTTTGCTCGATCCAGGAGATAAGGAAAATCGAAATTGGCAATGTTATATCCAATAATCACGTCAGGGTCAACTTTCTCCACGAAATCGCGCCAGGCCATAAGCATTTTTTCTTCTTTTTCAAACTCCAGGATTTGGGTGTTGACAATCAGGCTACACGTATCCAAAACAAATACATTTCGGATGAAAGGCTTGGACTCTCCATAGCGAGTCACGACATTGGCGATCTGGATGACAGGGTCTTGGTTCGGTTCTGGGAAGATACCCTTTCGTCCAGCACACTCGATATCGAAAGATAATATACGGAGAGGCGCCATTTTAGCCCAATCACCATTAGGTGGGTGGGCGATAAGGTCGCGGTAATCGACAACGGCTTCGATCTGACAATTGGAATGTTTTTCTTTCTGGTGAAGAAGCCGGTACTTTCCTGCCTTGGCTTCTACCCAAGACATGCCGGAGATGTTCGTATCGATCATAAATCTCAAAAGATATTGGATGTTGTCAAAGGTGGCAATCTTTTCAATCCCAGTCCAAAGACCTTTGTAGTTCATGCTTTGGCCCCCGTTCTCCAAAGCGCCTCGCAGTTTGCTGATATACTTCGGCTCCGTGACGGTGATCTTCAGGTACCAGCTCTTTTGGTTCCCTTGATAGCCATAAATATTCTCCCTCAGGGTTACTTGAACCGACTGGATCATCGTCTGGAAATTACCGATTCTGCTTTCCAGGAACGCCCGATACGGGTCGCAGTCTTCCTTCGTAAAGTTCACCGGGGCGGCGATATAGAGATAGTGTTGGAAACCGGTTACATGCAGCAAAACGGATCGGCCAGCCTATACGGTGGTTAGAGCAGTTCGCATATCATGGACACCGCGCGAACAATACCTCAGTGACTCCAAACAATCTAACGGCTGGTTTGCCACCCAAGAGCGTTCCTTCTTCGGCATCAATCTGTTGGAAGCAGACATTCTCCTTCGTAGGGTCAAACTCCCCAAGTGGAGGCCGCTCCCATTGTTGGTCCTTCTCCGCATTACTATCCTTCAATTCATTGATATCCTGCGTCAATTTCTCAAGAACCTCCTCCTCGAATTGACTCTTCTGTAACTGGCTCGAGCCAGGCACCTTTCGTTGGCCATTCTGAACAGGCGCGTTGACTCTCGCGGTTGGCTTGCCGTCGATTTTCCGTTTCTTACTCGCGTCCGGGGATTTCAGGATCCCGCGCGGATTATTCGATGCATCACCCAGAACCCGCTTCTGGGGCGTTGCGACAGCTTCGGGCATGGCGGAAAGATCATAAAACCGCCGCAGTAGGCCGATACTATCAAGGATGAAACCTATGTGAAGTAGGGTTGGCGAGTTGTGAGAACCGACACATGGAAGCAGTATAGGCGGAGTCGCGGGCAATTATGCTCCATTCATGCAGGTCGTGTCTTGTTCGCGCTGGACGTGACGCGTTGACCGAGGTCACGTGCTGATAGCGATCCTATTCCAATTGCGTGGAGATAGTGTTAGGTACGAGAGGCCATGCTGAGAAACAATAGTCAATTTTGCTTTTTCCCTTATACATAATAGATAGTTCTTTCGGTCTATCCCCGTCTCAATACTGGTACGAATGTCTACAAAGTGGTACAATTTTCCTTGGTCCGATGACGTCATAATGGTACATCCCGTACTTTCCTCTCCAGTAAAAGTGAAGTATTACAATTCGTATAAAGGTTAGCGAGACGCGCGCTTAAGTCAATCATCAGGTACTCATAGAGATTTGCAGTGGGCAGTCTTTGTGCATTGCTCATACAAATGCCGGGAAGGCCAAGAGAATTATTCGAAAGGCGAAGTCATTGGTATCTGATTTGAACACGGGATAAATATATAGAGTTGAGAAATAGCAATACAGTATAGGCATGAACTTTCGGTTACTTCATCTGCATACATGATTTCGAAGGATGTCCGCGATAGGTGTAAAGATGCTGTAAAAGAGCCAGCAGCTCATGTCTAGCTGTCACTAACATACGTAATAAACACCGTTCCCTTCAGAAGGTAAGTCACACCTGTGGTACCCTGCTCTCTTCTGTCTTATAGATGTTGTTGTAGCCATTGAGAGATTCCTGTGTCAGGCTTGCCATGTCTCTTCCTTGGAATCTACTAGGATCCAGTGCTCGCCTAATAGCATCATCGACGGGCTGTTCTTCCAGAATTTGAGCCAAGAACTTTGCTGCTCCAGCTGCATGGGTAACCCACACCGCCGCTGCCATGTATAGACCCTCAATAGAGGGGATATTTCCTACCAACGGCATATTGTCCGGCGTCATTGAGAATATACCGTTGAATCGTTCTCTAGGAACGAGCTTCGTCTCCTCCGGTATGAAACGCATGGCCTGGCTTAGTGTTTCATTGAATTGTCCAATCCAGTCACCAATAGCAGTGTCCTTTGGCTCATTGAGAACCGGGGCATGATCATAAGAGCCCAAGCCGAAGAAAGAACCATGATCACGAGCATAGACATGATGCTGTGGCCATCTCACCCAAGGTGCCTTGCGTAATTTTGGCGTGTGATGCTCGCCATACATATATGGATGCGCGACAGGTACGATTGGAATTGGAATGTCGAACTTGCAAAGGTGAGTTGCCCAGATTCCCGTGGCAATAATGACCTTCTTCGCCGGGATGAGCCCCGATGTGGTCATCACACCATTCACGCAACCATTGGCCTGTTGGATTTCGGTAACTTCTGCTTCGATAAGTTCGACGCCCCTAGCTCGTGCGTTTTCCTGGTAAAACGAAGTTATTCTGATAGCGTTCGCAGCACCATCACCAGGAAAGTATAAGGCTATTTGGTTGTCGTCATTGACCAGATCTGGCGCTAGACTAGTTGCCTGCCCGGAGGATATCAATTCGGCGGAGAGTCCAGCCCTCTTCGCCATCTCACATCTCGATCTTAATCGGTCGACGCCTTCACAGCTAGTAGCAATCTCAAGACCCCCAACAACATCAAATCCTCCGGGTACCTTCGTGTATTCTCTCACGGTTTCAATGGCGAGGCGTGTGAGAACCTCGGAATCATTGAATTGACCAACAAACCCGGGAGCATGACCTGTCGAGCCTTTCAACTCTGAAAATGACCGATCGATGAGAACCACTTTTTTATCGGTCTGTGATAAGAAATAAGCCAGCGCGGACCCCACAATTCCTGCGCCAACAATGGCAATATCAGATGTGGATTTTGAGGATTCCATTGTGTCTTGCTGTAGGTATTGAGGATTTCCTCCTCGGAAGCACAAGGAAAATGTATTCTGAAGGTCATGCATGTCGTTTAAATATCAATAATCACGTTGTAGAAGACTGAAGTGGGGTGGCTTTCTTGGTATCTCGTAACCCGAACAGAATCAGGCCATGAACTATATATATCTAATTGTCCGTCTAGAATCACACCGGCAGTACCCGGGGGGGAGGAAGTGCCGAGGGTTACCGAATATACGCCGTGAAGAAGGATATGACGTCTGTCTAGGTACATTCACAAAACCGAACAAAAATAACCTCCTTTCGCCCGATTCCCAGGTCAATGTGGTCAAAATGTGGGGTGAAAAGGCAGAGGGGATGGAGATGGCGGCCTAAGGCAGCGTGGCGGGTGTCCACTTTTGGGAGGGACTTTCTGAATTTGACTCACGGGAAGAATCTCACATTCCACCAACAATGCCCGAACCCACGCCGAATGGACTCACCGGACAAGGGGGTTAACCGAGATCTCGGGAGACTCTAATTTGATCAACACGAGCGGATCTTTGATTTGGTGGGATCTGTGGGAACCTGCAACTCTGAGTCAACAACGTCGCCTAGTGTGCGCCCTGTTGATGGCATCGGGAATTTAGAATCGAATGGAAGGCGGACAAGGCCAACGGAACCGCGCTGTGCGAGAACCAATTGGATTCAGAAACCGTGGCATCTTCTGAACAACAGTTGTCAACTTCAAAGCTCACCGATCAAGCTGACTTTTAAAAAACTACGTATTGAGGTCACCATCGTGTCCCAATTGGCGCGGACTTTATCAACGAAAAGTATATATCGCGCAATCTTTCCATCGCACCCCTTGCAGTGACCCGGTAGCGCACCCTGGTATGGGGGCTTTATTTTGATCAAACCCTCAACAGTTCTTGCCATCGTACCTCGAAACAACGCTATTAGATGGCCAGTGTCATGTTCTTACATGGCTCCAGTGTAGCCGCAAATCTGATGCTTCTACCTGTTTGAAATATATTAGTTTTTAAGATGTCAATGTTCAGGTCACCCGCAGATTTCTCTTCCGACTCCGAGTCTGGGGAATCTGGCTTGGATAGGAATCTGAGCGAACAAGAAGATGCTCCATCAAACAGATCTACTGCCAAGAAGCCTAAGGCTACCGGAACGGGAACGAAGTCGCCTCCCCTTTTGGAAGGGAGCAGCTATGAAAGCCTCGACGGTGAGGCGAATGAAAACAATGAACTTGATGTCGACACCGAAGTCCATTCCAATATGATGACGGCTGCTCTCCTTGAATTCTATTGTCTTAGCCGGGCTGCGGATATTCTCAATGCACAAGAAGGCTCACACAAGCGATACACACGTGACTCGCCAGAAGTCCAGTACCTTGGAAGGAAAATGTATAATTATAAGTCTCGATTTCTCTCCTCCCACGGGGTCATAGCCGGAGGAATCGACAAGGATGAGCTACGGACAACAAGACAGTATTATCGGGACAACCTTGATGTTCTTGGCATGTCGGCCCTGGAGGATCTCGACATAGACGATACTCGGCGGCGTGTACCACCACGCAGAACAACTGGAGATATTGTCTTAGCTTCGAAGACCTCCAATAATGCGCAACTTAACTCAGACCAAGAGTATGCAGGGCCTGCAAAACGTGGACTATACAGACCCTCGCTTGCAGACATCGGGAAACGACTCCCCAGTGCAGAGAATATCAGGGCTTTAGAAAATGTCCATCTTGACGTAGGGAGCCTACCGAGCCAATCGTTACACCTCGCAGGAAGCTCACCGGCAAGCTTCCCATTGTTTGAAACCAATCTACCGACACCACGTAATCACTTATCACGTTATGCGACTGAGTTCGTCGAAGTTAAAGTCCTCGGCCGTGGATCGTTTGGAGAGGTGTATCATGTGAAAAACCATATCGACGGGCAGCCATATGCGGTAAAGAAGATTCCTATCAGCCAGCGACGGCTTGAGCAACTCCAAGAAGGAAATGAGAACCAGCTGGAAAATATCATGAAGGAGATAAGAACCCTGGCTCGGCTTGAGCACACAAATGTCGTCCGCTACTACGGGGCGTGGGTAGAACAAGCGCATGTATCGGGTTATGTACGAACCGGACACGAAGCCCCTGTTGGAGCTGAGAGTGAAAACACCCAAAGTGCTCTGGCCGGACCCGAACCAAACGATAGCGAGAGCTTCGGAGTCGTGTTCGAATATTCCCAGGCGTCGGCTGGGGGCATTGAAGACGACGAGGATACCGAATCAATTCCTCGTGATTTTGACGCTTTTACCGACAGCCAGGTATCTACTTTTGGAGGGACGGATGACGATATTTTCACGGATGGGTTGAGCTACGACCCATCCAAGCTGCAGATACAACGACGAAATCGAGGCGGGCCTCAAGTTCCTGCAGTAGTTTTGCATATTCAGATGTCGCTGCATCCCATTTCACTCAGCTCGTATTTGAACTCGCAACCATGTGAGATTGGAGATAGCCAAATCCCACGCCGACATTGTTACCACTTGGCCCCGTCTTTAAGACTCATGTTACGTATAATCTCTGGAGTCGACTATCTGCACTCTAAGGGCATAGTACATCGGGACCTCAAGCCTGCTAACATATTTCTGTCGTGTCCTGACCATCAAGACTCCGAAGGATGCTCTCCTTGTCAGTTAGATAACGAATCTTCTTCATGGTACTCCCACCCTCGAATCGGTGATTTCGGTCTAGTTGCCGATATCTCCCATTTCAATGAGAATCCGTCGGACAGTACCTCTTTGCAGCAGAGTACGAAGGTGAACCGTGTTGTTGGGACCGAGTTTTATCGCCCACCTGTGATTCATCCCACCGTAGATAACCCCGAGAACTCCGAAGAAATATGCGACTTTTACAAGGTTGACGAGTCCCTGGATGTCTTTGCGCTTGGAGTGATCCTTTTCGAGCTTCTGTATCGCTTAAACACTAAGATGGAACGCCAATTCGTTCTCGGTGAATTGACGCGCTGTCAACAGAATCAGCTAACAGGATCCGCCTTGGGACACGCGTCATTCCCTTGTGACTTTGCACAGAAGATTGATTTGGGAGAGGAGAGATTTGATGGGGAAGGGTCTATCGCCGAGGAATTAATGACCTGCATCAGTGGGATGCTGGAACCCTTGCCTCAGAAGCGTTGGAGCTTATCCGATGTCAAGAAGCATCTGCAAACTATTCTGACCGTCGCTCAGGGGGCATCATGCTCCTAATTGGGTGCGTCAAAAGCCACAGCTAGTATGCTGGGGGTAGCATATTTGATCACATATTGCATCATTGTACATGTGTCCCGTGCAAGCGCTGAGAACATAAAGTATATCCGAGACTTCAACAACCAAGTCGAAGATATGTGGCAAATAATCCTGTGGAAAAAGCATATACTATTACAATTTAAATACCATTCCTCTCACTTGCAGACTGTCGTACATTTTACTACTTCTGATGTTGTCCCCATGACCGTCGGATACCTAGCTAAGTGATGTGCTTGGTCCCGGAACATGGCGTCAGTTCGAAGTGCGTGTGCCGAGCGCCCCCCGGAGGAGTAGTCTTAAGCAGAGTAATTTCCCAATGAGGTACAGAAACCAGCACCCGATTCAACCACAATCATTACAAGAGATGGAAAGAAAAAAAAGCCAATCCGAATCTTATTACCTACTATGGTAAGAGATAGTCTATCCTGATAGATCTAAGAGTCTCAATATTTCACTTCAACCAACCCAGCAGCTTCTTAAAATAGAAAGCCGGCAGGCCTGCTCGCAATGTGGCCTGTGTTGTTCTGGAGGAGACTGATATCGCCTAAGTTGGCTGAACTCGAGTTCTCAGAATATCAACACAGGACTTTAGAGTATTTCGAACGAAAAAGCTTTTATTAGTAAATGGTATGTGGCGCCGACCTCACTTCAGCGATAGACGATATTGAGGTATTCGATATTGCCCCATTAACTCTCCGGGTCGTATCTATCAAAGCAAACATGTTCGATACGAATGTCGAAAAAGATAAGTTAAATGTTTGACGAGTTTTCATGCAAGTATCTCAGCAGTGGAAATTGGAAAAAGACATGTGGAATGTCCGCGGTCCTCGGTCGAGAAACGTTTCAAGAAAGTTAACTTCCCCGCATAACCCCCGGATAAGATAAAGAGACCCTGATCTACAACTACGACTAAGGGTACCATGTCCGACCTCTGAGCGCCGTTAATTATTCGAATAAATCCATCTAGTAAAGTCGCAAAACCATGACCCGCCAAGATCGCGCCCCAACAGCCCCATACAGCGAGCCTCTGCTCCCCCAACTCGACGTTAAAAATCCATACTATACCGACCTCCACCACAGTCTTCGCGCATATGTGCGCAATTATGTAGAATCATCAATTGCCCCTTACGCTCATGAATGGGAAGCCGCAGGCCAAGTCCCCGAAGCCGTCCGTCGGCGGCACTGTGAACTGGGGTTTGGAATCATTCATCCCCTAACAACTGTCGAAGATGCCGCCGGACTATCCCTGCCCAACAACGTCCCGCGCGAGAAATGGGATACATGGTGTTCGCTCATTGTGGCTGATGAGCTCATCCGGACCGGATATGTAGGTGTGATTTGGGGACTGGGGGGTGGGAATAATATCGGATGTCCGCCAATTGCACGGTTTGGCACACCGGAGCAGAGGCAGAGGTGGCTTCCGAGGGTTGCTAAGGGGGATGTTCGGTTTTGTTTGGGGATTACGGAGCCTGATGGTTTGTGATATTCTCACCGGAGTGATGGCTAGTTTTGTATACTGATGGTGTGTGATAGCTGGATCGGATGTGGCTAATATTTCGACGACGGCGAGGCGCGAAGGAGATTGCTACGTTGTGAATGGGGCGAAGAAATGGATCACCAATGGTATATGGGCTGACTATTGTACTGCTGCGGTGAGGACCGGGGGCCCCGGGAAGGGTGGTATTAGCTTGCTTGTGATTCCTTTAGCGGCTCCTGGAGTGACGCGAAGAAGGATGTACAATTCTGGGGTTCATGCTAGTGGTAAGGGGGCCCTTATCTGTCCTTCTAATGCCTTCGTCTTGTCACCAACATGCAATGTGATAGGGTCCACATTCATCGAACTAGATGATGTCCGGGTCCCGGTAGACCACCTCATTGGAGAGGAAAACAAAGGCTTTCCACTCATCATGTCAAGTACGTGCACCTACTTTCACATCCATCTTCACAAGGCTAACTTTCTGTTGAGATTTCAACCCCGAGCGTCTCAGCCTCGCCTGTGCTTCATTACGTCTAGCTCGCGTGTGTGCCGAAGATGCCTTCCATTACGCCACCCAGCGCGAGACATTCGGCGCCCCGTTGATAACAAGACAGGCCATACAGTCGAAAATATTCAAGTTCGGGCTCATGATCGAGCCCGCATACGCATTCTTGGAACAGCTTGTTAATATCATCGAGCTTACCAAGGATAGACCCACCGATGATGTCCGGATTGGAGGTATGACTGCGTTGCTCAAAGTGATGTCTACCAGGGCGCTGGAGAAGAGCGTTAGAGAAGCTCAACAGATACTTGGCGGTGCTGGGTATAATAAGGCTGGGAAGGGGGCACGTATTGAACAGATTAGTCGTGACGCCCGTGTTCATGTTGTTGGGGGTGGGAGTGAGGAGATCATGATGGGTCTTGCGCTGCAGGAGGAGACTAAAGCGCTTCGTACGAGACGGAAGGCCTTGGAGAAGAAGGCGAAGCTTTAACGTGGTGCTACTGATCTTACATTTTGTTGTACATACATATTTTCAAGACTACCTCGGTAGCGCCGGTCCCCAATCACGATGGCGAAAACATGCAGATATGCCTATACTCAATAAGAGTAAAGAGTACAATTCCCCATTTACATGGGCCTTGGTTCCCAGGATCAAAAGACCATTGCTCGAAAAGAAAATCGAACAAAGGAAGCAAATGTTGTATATCATCCCAAAAGACCATCAAGAAGTTTGATACCAGCGGACCCGAAACCCAGACTACACCGGACGTAATCAAGCAGCCTGCTTACCCACCCTTAACCAGATCCCAGGGGTTAACTGTACTTCGGTGTGGCTCTGTACCCTCAATCTGCTCGATTCGTCTCCTTATCACGTTGTAGTGCTGCGTCATATCAAGGAGAGCTTGTCTGAGCAACGGGAGATTGTGAAAGGCCTCGGGTCTAAGGGGGAAAGGTATCGCTTTGCCATCATGCTTACACTTCACTCTGACACCCGCTGAAGAAGTTGTTGTTATACAAGTCATAGTGCCTTCAGGCTGTTGTCCTTTCGCCTTTGCGACAGACTTCGGATACTCAGACCCTTGCACATTGGATGTGTTTTGGGTGCTGCGGCCGCTCTGTTGAGGTGACTTTGGCTGCAAAAGTAAGAGAAATCTCTCCGCCTCCTCATCCGACACGGGACGTGCAATATGGAGCCCTTCGGTACCGACAAGCTGCGACGATGGTTCAGTCTCCTCTTTTGTACCAGATGGACTGCCGATATCTTCAGAGCTCTCACGGTGAATACCTAATCCAAACCATGAGCATAGATAACAAAACACACTAAATAATCATACACTCACGATGGGCACAAGTATAACGTCGACTAAATCGACAATTCGCACAAGATCCATGAATCTTCGTATCAGCGGTCGTATCAGAGCCTATGATACAAGCCTGCCATACACCAAGCTGCTCCCTGCAGAAAGAACATGGCTCGGGGGCTTCGCTACCGCGTGTTTGAACGAACGCTGCCAGTCGCGATAGGTTGTTTGTGAGTTCGCGGATAATCGGACGGTTATTCTCGTCTGTGTGCCAGTCAAGAGTCCGCTGGACTGGGAGATTTGAGTAATACTCGATCGCTTGGTTGGGGTTTGGTCCTGCTGTCGGAAGATCATGGGTTCCTGAACCTGAGTTAGTTGGTTTGTCTGGTTAGTGGAGGTTATTATATTTTGACGGGGTTGAAATGCTTGGGGTAAGCTTACGTGCTTTCTTAGGGCGTTTGCCCTTTTTGGTCGGAGTCGAGGTTAGGCGATGTTCGGGACGTGGTGTGGATTTGGATGAGGGCACGTCTTTAGGTTTGTGCTCTGGATGTCTCTCGTGCTCGGTGTCTGTTGGGTCAGGCTTCATAATGGGCATGATGGAGAATAGTATGATCAGCGATGTGAAGTCAGAGGATTTAAGGAATGAGAGTAGTGCATCTGTGGAGTATATCTCAATCTTTAAATGTGGAGATAGCTGAAGAAATCAAGCAAAACAGGATGATTGACAGTTACTAATTGCGTGTCACTCTCACATACTAAATTTGGAAAATACGTACCAGATTATACAGTTTGTCTCGGCGTTATTATGTGTCTTTGCACATAGTAGTGATGGCGAAATCTACATTTTCTGTTATCTCGTTTGCTCACCATAAACACAACTGGGATATGTATAACGACATCATATCGTGTAACCAAAACAGAGGATTGTGAAAGGAAGCATTGCTGTTCATTATAGTGTACTTTTATCATTACAGCTTCTGTCATGATAACATAGAATACAGAACAATGCCAGCTCGACAAGACCTTTAGACCTGCTTTTAGATTGCACTCACTTTGAAAACGCCAGCATGATCGTGAAGCCCAACTAAATTCACTGTAGCCCATATTTCACAGATCAGCCTCAATATTATTTCAAGTATTAAGAGCGATGAATTTACTAAGTATCCCTTAGCTTCTCAGTACGTTAGTGAGATGTCTACAGCAGGTTAAGCATGGGTTACGTATGTACTACTGTGCTCGAGCTCGCTGGCGAGCTCAACCCTTCCTCTGTTGCCTTCATTATCCTTGACCATGACGCACTTCTAAAGAAAGTCAGATCCATAATGCCAGCGGACTTGGGTGGATAGCGCTGCGGGTAACTTCTTGAGTGATAAGGTAACATAGTATCAGCTATCGGAAGGGCAGTAAAGGTTCAAAAAATGATAAGATCCAAAGATGGTATATGCTGTTTACTTCATTATCCAGGCAGTGTCTTTAGGTCTCTAATCATTGAGGTGTATAGTGTTTAAAGTGATTGGCTGTGCTTAGGGCATTGGCTGGTCAGGAGAGACACCACGTGGGACCGTCGCTATTACGGTCACGTCGAGGATATCTTTTGTTATGGTCCATGTATGCACAGAGCACATTGCCATGCTCAGAAGGGAAATCTTTTCGGTGTCACTATACCGGTTCTAGACAGTATGGTATACATCATGGATATGAATTCTCATCCAATAGAAGAGGATGTCGAAGTGTGTCTTGAATGGGACAATAAACGTAGAGTGGGCCGTAACTTCATAAGTAGACAGTGTAAGCGAAACCTCCATTGGTCACTCCGGACTTTTGAAACTACCCACACAAAGATCAAAATACCAATAATAACCCAGGCTAATCCAGTTTTACATGAAGCAATCCCGTTTGAGCCTAGCGATCCGGGTTTGCGATAGACCCTGTCACTGTAAACGGAAACTCCCGCCTCAAAAAATTTAGGGCTCCATCGCTAGCGTCCTGTGAAGGATCACTAGCTTTCTGGCCCTCATCGGATGTCTCAGTTTCTCACTGCATAAGCGAAATTGGACCCGCTGTGCTTGAATGATTGGGTCCTTGGATTAGCCTCGCAGCAATGAGATTAGAGAAGGATCCCCCTGAATTTTTCCCTATTTGTTTTCGAGTCCATGGAGTCATTGTCCATGGTTCGCCAGTCATAAAGCTGTTGATTCTAGATTCTTGATAAAGATCTGTCATGCTAGGAGCCGATCCGATTTCTATAGCGTAACAGGTTGACGGATCACAGAACCCTCTAATTGGTACCAATGCGCTGTCTAAGCTTCTGCCAAGTTGGCTTGGCCGTCTTGGTATTCCTCTCTGGGCAAGGAGTTCTAGCCGATCTGGGGATCGATGTGAATAATGTCGGTATGTATGCGGCTTTAATACATGATGGAATCAGACATGGATGCTTACTCAAGGGTCGGTAGACTCGCTGAAGCAAGCCGGCAAGGCGGTTGCAGCTCCCATGATGGATTTCTACAAGAAGAATGAAACTGAGGGCATTCCCGGCAAACTCACCGACACATGGTATGTGGCCGGAAGTATGTTTATGACGTTGATTCAATACTGGCAAGCGTCGGGCGACGACACCTACAATGCGGTCGTGTCGCATGATTTGATGTTTCAAGCGGGCGAGAATTATGATTACTATTCAAAGAATGTTAGCGACTGGCTGGTGCGTGTCCCTGCTACTTCGAGAACTTCTGTACTATAAAATATTACTAACATTCCTCAGGGTAACGATGACCAAATGTTCTGGGGTCTCGCAACCATTACAGCCTCTGAGGCTGGATTCCCGGAGATCTCCGGTAAGCCTTCGTGGACATCTCTTGCTCGCGTGGTGTTCAACATGGAAGTGGAACGCTGGGATGAATCGGCCTGCAACGGTGGTATGCGGTGGCAGCTCTGGCCCTATCAGGAGGGCTATACCATGAAAAATGCAATTTCAAACGGTGGTCTTTTTGAGCTAGCCGCCAGACTAGCTCGCTTCACTAAGAATGAGACCTACGCGGAATGGGCAGACCGCATCTGGGACTGGTCGGCCGGCACGCCAATTTTACAGACTGATCGCTGGTACGTTGCCGACTCAACGTCCAACTTGAACAATTGTAGCGATGCGGGAGACCAGCAGTGGTCTTATAATTATGGCACGTACCTCGCTGGTGCAGCTTTCATGTATAATCATGTAGGTACTCGTTTTTTTGAACTCTTCTTGGGGTATAGCAGCTGACTGGGCATATCAGACAAACGGTGCGGACAAGTGGCTCAAGCGCGTCGACGGCCTGCTAAACTCAGTATTGACGACCTTCTTCCCAAAGGAAGGCAACGGCGTTATACTCTCTGAAGTCGCCTGTGAACCTATCCTGACATGCGATCGGAACCAGCTTGGCTTCAAGGGCTACGTCGCCATGTGGCTAGCCTTCACGGCCATGCTGGTTCCTTCGACGAGAGAGCTGATCACGCCCAAGTTGCAGGGGTCTGCGGCAGGTATCTCGAAACAGTGTTCCGGAGGAGATCAAAACCTCTGTGGAGAACGATGGTATTCAACTGAACCGGCAGGCCCAACCGGATTGGAGGTACAGATGGCTGCTCTGGGTGGTATCACGAGCAATCTAATGCTCTTTGAAGCGCAATCACCCAAGACTATCGAGTCCAACCCAAACGCCACGGAGACCGAGATCGACCACCATAGTGACGAGCAGCCGAACACCCCTAAGGCGATTACTACTGGCGATCGGGCGGGGGCAGGGATCGTCACAGTCGTTGTCGCGATCGCCGTGGCGGGTACTGTGGTATGGATGATAATACCGTAGGGGTTGGCGGGTGTTGGGAGCCAAGGGGGCAATATACATTTGGCTTGAGCACCCCTTGTCGCAAACTATAGGCCTCTAGTATTTGAACCAGCCTTGTTTTGACTCACTGTAATATCTACCATCGATTAGTGTTTGATCTAGATCTACAGCATTTTCAGGATATAAATAATAATGTGTGTATGTGATGTGAACCCCTCATCTCCATACCATCTTTAGTCTTTTCGACTTTTAGGCATTGGATATGGGGAGCGAAAGGTGCTAGTATGTGCCATCCCCTGGATTATACAAGAGATACAAAGATCCAGCCACGTCCATATCAATCACATACAATACTCCTTACGTACGCGTAGAATCAATCCCAGTTAAGGTGCTAAGCAATACCTTCCAGACGGTACCTGTCAATCGTGCCCCTCCTATGCAATCAATTTCTCGGAGATCGGGATGTAGTCAAGTGTAGAAGGGAATTCGATAGTAACGTCGAAGTCTTCATGGATAATGATCTCTGTAACTCTGCCCATATCTAGTTCTCTTAGTATGTGTTGAAACCAACCGAGGTGTTTGGGTTGAGCAAGGCTTCTGTAGTCCTTTTCGAAGCGGTTGCTGCGGCATCTGCAGTTTCAACAGACGAAGTTACAATTCACTAAGTAACAGCAATTGATATAATCGAAATGTTCTTCACATTCGTGAGGTTGAAGTGCGCCAGGGAGTCTATTGTGTCGCGGCGGTTGTCGAGGTTGGCATAGAACAGCGCCTTTCTGTCATGAAAAAGCTCACTGGATCTATTACTGATTCGTGCTAGTAGTCAAGGTCAAGATCCTGGACGGTAATCAATTCACTTTTCTTTTCTGGCTGAACTGCCCTGACTTAATGACAGTATAGTAGCTGTTATCTATGAAGTTGCTGCTATACCTTTGGATCAAATCACCGACTAAATCTGATGGAAGGTGCCATCCTGTATACTCGCATCTGCACTGCGGGAATACGACATGGTTCTAACAATCGACAAGTCGCACTTGATCCATATCGGAAAGAGGTTTGGAGAAGAGGCAACTAGATGGGAGACTTTACACTCAGTCAATAAAATAGTTAGGTAATTTGGGGGTTAACAAAAAGCTTCCAATTCATATTTCTTTTCATGCCTATTTCCATCAGGATATATTTATGTGTTAGACTAAACCCGGCGGGCCATTATCGATCGTTCAAGTTGTCTGTCTCATACAGTGTACCGTAGTAAATCCTCCTCGACTACATTAGACTGGTATGCTGTATCTGACGGTACATTGACTTTGCTATGCTCTTCCTGCCGTGCCTAGTAGACATATATGATATGCCCTGGACCACGGCCGCCGATCTTCACAAATTCAGTGCGGAAAAGGAATCCGGAAGGAGTACAGCACGGACCTCTTCATCTGCATGCATTGATGAGCTGGCAGCAGCTGTGGGCCACGATCTTTTCACTCATCACATCCATCAATCGGTTGGTTGTCGAGCGACAGGTTTGACAGACCTTTGGCAGTGATTCTTCGACTTGGTGTGTGGGCATTGATGGAGATAATTGATCGATCATCGATCCTCGGTGGGTCTTTATCTTCTCCATCTTCCCCGTCAGATCGTCATATCTTAAGACCTACGGAATATTAATTGATTTAATTGAACTCGGTAGTATCAATGATATGCCGGTATTTGTTTAAAGCTCACTGGAAGGCTGGACTCAATAATATTTCGTGTATTTCAATACATGATTCACGTAATACCGATTGGCTTTCTGTATTAAAGATTATTGGCCTGAGATGAAGGCTTCGGCATCAGCAGCCATGCTAGGACCGTAAATCCTTTTTCTGCCCCCCCAATATTGTTGCTCTTTTCTCCCATGAGCAGTTTGGGATTTTATTACTCTTTCTCATGCAGCTTTAGATTATTCGTTTCGACATAGAAAACAAGAACCAGCGTAGACTTTGGCTATACATGGCCCGGTGGTAGACTATGGTCTCCTAATGTGCTTCGACCAGACGGCACCGTCGAGCACGCTGTGAGATGCGATAACTCCAAGTCGTTGTTCTCCACTGAGGGAGAAGATTTCACCAAGGAGCGCTGATCACATTGGGTTGTCCGGGTGTCCTGAGTTGGTAGAGTGCTGATCCCCTGTGAGAAACTAATACTTTCCCACACCTTGAAGACGCGTCGACGGACGGGAGTTGGCATGTCATTGTTGGCATTGTCTTCGGCACCCGACCGTCCCTCTGACCAACAGGGACAGTTGAATTTACGACAGATTATCCGGAACACGGGGGTTATGGTGGGCAGACATGCGCAGAGTATGCCCACCGCACATTCAATCACTGACCATATCGTCGACGGCCCGATGGTTCCTAATCCGCCGGTCTGATTAGAAGAGGAATGAACTTCCCGTGGACAGCTAGGCACGATAACTTGATAATGTACATACCAGGGACATTGTGTGGCGTAAACTGGAACAGAAGTGTAAATCGGTAAATGCTCACCCCAACCACGCTAACCATGAGGAGGAATCAGCACTAGTCTCTCAGGTTGTCAATAGGATTTTACGACCACTCACAAAATACCCAACATGAAGACACCAATGAGGGACAGACGGTAGAGGACGCTCTTGTGTAATTGCCAACACGATCGAATGGGAAGCGATAGAATGGCAATATCGGTGAGAATATTGGGTAGCGCGACGCAGTAAAAACCAAGTTGGAGATTGATGCAGTGACCAGGTATATCGATATCCCACGCCTTGGCCACCGGCGTGCATTGGAAAATGGCAGTGGGCACGAAAGCAGTGGCCCAGAGCGTGACCACCGCACCACAGATCATTGCGCCCACGCGGAAGAGACGAGAGATGTTGGTGAAAATACGGCGGTACATCATTAAGATTGAAAGCTTGATAGTTAGGAGGTTGATCACGTAAATGATCTCAAAGACGTAGAGCAGCTACACCAACATAAATTATTCTCTGCCCCAGCGTAATGTCATCATGACTACTTACTTTGGCCACCATCAGCGACCTTTCGGCGGGGAGATCCACCTTATTGTGTCCCAATCCATAATGAATCACTAACGTGGCTCGTTAGCACCGATCTCGAAAGAGATCTGCCAGGGGGCCCACCTTACTTCCCAGAGCAATGCCGGAAATTGTGAAGAGCAAAGCCTATACACACAAAGACCCCGTTAGGATTGTCGTTAGCCAGTCACCGACAGCAGACCTACCAAGCTTACAACGATGAGATAGTCATCGGCACCTATAACCACTTTGCGGATGCGTCGAGCGACGAACCGAAGCACAATGCTGACGAGGGCAAGCACATTGACGGCGATGACGTTGTCCCGCAGCCAGCTCGGTTGAGAGTTCATGGCTGTTTAATCCCAGGGACCACCCATCGCAGTCAGGGTGGCTGAGGGATAATCAAGTGATCTTAAATACACTCCAACCAAGTGAACTTGAGAGAAGGCTATGCAGTAAGCGAGGAGACATGTCTAGCCACATACCAGGGTTATACCCAAGAGGGAAATTCAAGACGCGGAAAAAGGAGAAGACAGTATGATGAGTCTCAAAAAAACAAACCCATTATAGCCGGTGGTCCGTGCGCATTCCCGCCCAGCTGGGAATCTTGAGCTGAAGGTTATTATTGATTGGCCTTTCAGTATGTTCTCCAGCCCCCGCGGATGGAGACGAGCATTCACGATGTTCGCTATTTTCCGACCCTCGTACTTTTGTATACTGACTATTACTACTTGACGTTTACCGTGTGATTGCCCACATCATAAAACATGACAGGCGTGGCCAGAGAAGAGATCAGATCTGCTGCAGATCGTCCCCTGGTTGAGCCGACCAAATTGCTACTAGTAGTCTCAACCGCAGAGAAGGCAACTATTCAGCACACGATGCCTCATAGTCAATCATACTGGATATAGCTGGATTAGACTAGACGCCAAACTGCAAAAAATGCACGTACACTCGGATAGAAGCTAGACTTTGGACACGGTTCGATCTACCGAGTGAATTCTCGGGATTGAACAACCGGACCCACTATGCTTCCATAAAACTTGGTATCAAAAGTACGCTCCGGGACCAAGAGGAGACGAATCATGCACGAAGACGGGCCATCTCACTTAGGCTGTACGATGAGCACGGCCCACTGTTGCGTTGCCCGTAGAATTAATTACAGAGTAGTAATTCATCGGGCACTGATCGAGCCGCCAAGTCTTTCCTGTTTCTTCTCAAAATGAACAACCACCAAATACCTATTCATGGAATCGCCGCAGCTTATTATCCCGAGCTTACGATGTGGTTCTGCATCTGGAGGCCATACCTGGCAACGAGAAAGACTCCAAGTCCCCCAATAATGCTGATTATAGCGCCTATGATCACATCAGTACCCTCGCGTTCGTATAGGATACTAAAGCGCAACGAAGGATAATCTCACAGGTAGTAAATACCAACCCCACCCCTATAGCATCAATTAATGGCACCACGGCAGCGGTGCTCACTGGCAGCCAACCGATGTTCAGGGAGTGCTTCTGTGGGAGCCATTAGTCAGTAAAACCTATAGTCTACCAGCTATTTAAATAATAAGAAGCGGTATACGAAGTTCAAGCTTGTCCAAGTATTATTCTCACTTACGGATCGAATGTATCTGACAGTATTTCTTGTCCTGCCACCAGCAGGAACGTTCCTGTGATTCCAACAATGATCCTCATCGCGATGAACATACCCACATTGATGGCTAGAGCTGCGCCGGTAGAGAAACAGAAAAGGATGAGGATGGCCACCAGGTTGCATTCCGGCGCCCAATGAAACTCCGGATCGGCTGCCAGAGGAATAAAGCTATGCCCATGGCAATCTGGACACATGCATTGGCAATTTGGAGTGTTTCTACGGTGGTGGACAGCTCGGCTGCGATTTGCACAGTCGCCGGAAAGATGGAGCACAGGGCGGAAGAACTGGTAAAAACCACAAAGCAAGCATCGGTGAGAATCAAACATTTCCGCCAAGTGAGGAAGACGAACTGTGCTCCATCAGAGCCATGCTTTGGTTCCTGCATGTTCTGCCCTGGTCCTGTTGGATCTCGACAGATTGGTGAGGGCACAACAAATACGGCGTTCAGATCATGTGTTGTCGTTGAATTCGCCCCAGCGTATATTTGTCTCTCAAAACCCCTTGCATGTTTGGTTAAGCATTATGCACGGAATCAACTACCTAAGATATCAAGGAATAGATAGTGGGCAAGTACTCATCCTCCCATACAATTAGACTTAATAGGATTCACAATTATCTTAGTACAATGGTATAGTACGAGGCACAGCTTGTACTGGTTCATATATGTACATACTATATTACTACTTATTCAATACCGATATGTTCAAGTCGAACAAGTACAGCTCCACACCATCGGGACCCACTGGGAGGATCATCCGCAGAAGAAGTTAGTATAGCCGCGCTGGCATTTAATCTCAGTATTGTTTTTTACGCCTCTCAGTGACTCTCCCGAGTACGTACTCGCATCATCAACATGACTTCGGGCGATATTGAACGTCCCAAAGAGAAGCCAAGGGAAATTCAGGTCATATGGCCATGAAAAGTATAACCACACCCAGTAAAAATTCACCCCTTAATGTGCAGGCTATGTGCCATCCAGTGCCCTATCGGTCCTTATCCCCGGGGCAGAGCATTCAACTATTTGCTTGGATAGGAACGTTTACCGTGCCAGATGGTTCATCAACATTCCTGGCTGGCTTTGTGCCACTTATGTCGAGTGGTTACCGGCAGATCATAAATGAACTCAAGTTGTGGTAGAGTGATCTACTCAGTTCTGAATGCAATTTGTTGAGTTAGATACCTCCTGTTTCAGTTCTCCAACGGGCATGTCCATCACACATAGTGTTTGTAGATATCAACTACGAGGACTAGACACGTAGGAAAGAGCATAAGGTTCGTTATGAGAGCGACAGGCCCACGCCATCATAGCGTCTTATGTTTCGAAAGTATCCTACCCAGTCACCGTGAGTGACGAAGATCCGGACACGCGCCTCATCACTGTCACCGCGAAGGCTGCCAGTGATGATGCCTATGCGGGATTGCAGGTGGCAGAGACAATTGTTGGTTATATCTGGTGTCATTAGTCAAAAGGGTTGAGTATTTACCAATGAAATATATTAGTCCCGATTATTCCTGAGAGGAAGCACGAGGTCAGGTTATCACAAAATCTTTGACAAATCTCGAGCATACGTATCCTGAAATCCTTGATGAAATGAAAGGCATTGCAACTACTACGAACCACATGCTCTCAGATAAGAGTGGAAAATATGCCGATATTGAATGCTCTCCTCCTGGAAATGTTCTTAAGGCCGTCACGGCTGCAAAGGATGACGATGCATCCAACATGAACTATGTTCCTAGCATGAAAACTTGGATCTGATTTCCATTTCCACTTGACCTCGCCGTTTGAGTCAAGTATTTGTATCTCAGACCGATCTTAATGAACTCCTACCATGATGTTTGGTAAAGAGTTTGCACAATGTGCTGTCTGCTCCAGTAAAACAAACGATGCTTTTGTGCATTTTGAGATGCAAATATTATCATTCCGCTTTTGTACTTTTATCTCAGATAGCTCGGAAGAAGTATAATATGAATAAATAGATAAATACATACATTCATATATATATAAAACGGCAAGTATCACGCGGAATAGTGGCTCCTCAGACTCTAAAAGAGCGCCTAATGTTGACATTGTTCCCAGTGGGCGAAGAACGAAATGTAAGCTCCACTTAGGGAGGCGGTTGCCCGGCCACGGTTACTACAGATAGCAAAGCTCACACTACGCCGGTGAAGTTCGGCGGTAATTCGTGTTCTTCTCGGAATCAGGCGGACGGATGATGGAAAGCCAGGTCCACAGAGGACGACTAAGGAGGGCAAGCCGAGGGTATGACTATGAAGTGTCGAAAAAAATAATAGAACCGAGAGCAAATGATCGTTCCAAGTTCCCGAGTGTATTCTTCACAATATGTTTAGGGGTAGATTTCACGGTTACCTATATGTAAAGTAGAGATACATGATTATCGAGTTGAACGCGGCACAGCACGCGAGATAAAGAGGTTTATAGTCCCCCTCCAAATAGAACCAGCCTCTAATAACTAGTTGAATATAACCCAGAGTACTGTTTAAAAGCATACATTCAAGTGCACGTCTGGTTATACTTATTCTAGGAGTTAAGTTCCCCTCCTTGTCCAAGTGATTCTCCATCTATGGTATATGCGGTATGAATGAACCGATTGTGGGTGCACTTCTAGGACTGTTATTAGTGCCACAAACCGAACGCCCAGATAAACCAAAGTACCTCTGCGAGAAATCTTGAATTCAAGATATAAAATTTCTATGCTTGGGCATGTGAGGTGAAGGCGAACCCGTTTTTGGTAGCAATGTATTATGAACGATAAGTGGAGTGGTAGCGATTTACCGTGGCTGGACTGAGCGAGGATGAGACCAGTCTCGAATATAAAGACTTTATTTGCTGGTCTTCATCTCGAACCACGTGTACCTGTCATATTAGTTGTACTAAACACGCACGAATGGCGAAGTGCCCTAAGCCGAATCAGGGTTCTATCACATGAACCCTCCTCTCCCCAGGGAACCCAAAACGCTACAGCTGTGTTGCAACAGTCTGACAGAAGAACGAGCCCCACCCTGCAATTCTCCAGACATATAAAGAAAATGAGATCCATATTTTAGAAAAAAAAAATAGGTAATGAATGCTAATAGAAGATGAGCAAGCTAAGCAACGCTCAACTCTGAAATGAGGTGGTTTTATATATCACTGCTACATAACTCTCTGTTCTAGTGATCCTCTATTAGGTCACGGTGTACTGGGCATAGTTCACGACAGGGGCCAATCATCAGAGTTGACTCGAAATAGTCTAAAGTCGCTTCTCTGCCTAGTCTTGCTGAGATCAGAATGGGCAAGACATGCAACAAGACCTACATAGTTTTAGTATGAACAAGAGAAGGAAGTCGTATCCTCCAACGGTAGCGCCTGTTGCCGTAGCACTAGTATCGTTCCAGTACCATGAATTACACCTTCGTGTGACAACTAGGGCTTTATGACAGCGTTCCGTAGGTATTGTACGGTAAGAGACAACACATGACGTCCTTTATCTTATCTCGATCAACATCAACAACAAACTTGCAGCTTCCTTTTAACTCTTCTTTGTGACTCTCTTCGCCATCAAACCATGGTGACTGTTGACAATGATCTCATAGATCCTCTTATTAGAGCCTCATATCTTAGCAGCTGATGCCTAGTTCCCTCTTCCTCCGTCCACAGACATGGAGAGTCTTGAAGAAATCACCCGTCCCCGCGATCCCGCTGAAGGAACCGTCGATGACGGCTCTTCCAGGACCCCGTCAGTTGCTGATCAGAGCTTGGCAAACTCACTAGTGGGCTTGAATATAGGAAGCGCAGATGCATCGTTTAAATCTACAGCCAGCAATATAGTATCCGACGAGCAGATAGACCGGAAATTCACCGAGCAAGAAGACGCCTCGATACCCCCGACCAGAGTGCTCTCCCCTTACGCTCCAGTGCCGTACAACCCACCCTCTGCAGCTGCCATAAGTGATGATGGGGGCGAGGAGGACGAAGAGCCATGTATCGCAACATCTTTCGAGAGGGACTCTACTCCTACGTCCCTTCAAAAGCGTCGTTCGATGTTCTTCGATACCGGTGAGGAAGGCATCACCCGGATGCATAAATTTTCCCTGTACGAGACTGCTACGCGGTTTTATATGGTTGGCATGGACTTGTCGGACACCCGTTTCAAGATTTTGAAGATCGATCGAACTACCGAGACGGGAGATCTGAACGTCGCGGAGGATGATATTGTGTACAGCAAGAGAGAAATGAGTCAATTATTAGATGCTATTGACGACGGCAATAAGATATCGGGTGGTCTGAAGCTGAGGTGCAGTGCATGGGCTATGCTGGGATTTATTAAGTTCACCGGGACATATTATATGCTACTGGTGACTAAGAGGAGTCAAGTTGCTATGCTGGGTGGCCATTATGTCTACCAGGTCGATGGGACTGAGTTGATCTCTCTGACTAACTCCAGCGCCTCGAAACTCAAGCCGGATAAGAACGCGGAAGAGGCTAGATATATCGCCATTCTCAATAACCTTGACCTAACTCGGTCTTTCTATTTCAGCTATTCTTACGACATCACCCACACATTGCAGCGCAATATCTGCCGAGAGCGCAAAGCTCATCAAGATGGTTACCCGACGCCTCCTCAGCAGGCCTACAACACAATGTTCATATGGAATCATCACCTTCTCAGCCCTGCCATTGAGAATCTGAAGAACCCTTATGAGTGGTGTCTGCCGATCATTCATGGATATGTTGAACAAGCGAAGATGCCTGTGTACGGCCGCATGGTTTACATTACTATAATCGCTCGCCGGTCACGTTTTTTTGCGGGAGCACGCTTCCTGAAACGAGGTGCCAACGATCTGGGTTATGTCGCCAACGACGTGGAGACTGAGCAAATTGTGTCTGAAATGACAACCACCACATTCCACGCCGCTGGCCCCGACCTTTATGCAAACCCTCTTTACACTTCCTATGTTCAGCACCGGGGAAGCATTCCTCTCTACTGGACGCAGGAAAATTCCGGCGTATCTCCGAAGCCCGATATTGAACTAAACCTGGTCGACCCATTTTACTCCGCGGCAGCGCTGCATTTTGATAATTTGTTTGAGAGATATGGGGCCCCGATCTATGTCTTAAACCTAATAAAGTCCAGAGAGCGCACCCCACGAGAGTCAAAGCTTCTTAAGGAATACACCAATGCCATAAACTATCTCAACCAATTTTTGCCGGAAGACAAAAAGCTTATTTACAAACCCTGGGATATGAGTCGAGCTGCAAAAAGCCGTGATCAGGACGTGATAGGAACACTTGAAGAAATTGCCGGCGAGATTATCCCCAAGACCGGGTTTTTCAAGAATGGACACGATGCAGAATCTGGCCTAAGGTTACAAAATGGTATT